AAAATTATCATTTATTTATATTTCTCTTAATATTATTAGTTAATTCTGATAATAAAAACCTTTTTTAATTAATATATAATTAATTTTTCATTTAGTCTAATTTTACTATCAAATAAAATGATATTTATAATCTTAACATTATCAATACTATTAGTTATAAATTATTTGTGAAAACAAAAATAATGTACTGAAGCATAACCAAGATAATCCTATATATATTTATATTAATACAACAAATTATTTAAATTTATTTTCAAGCCATATGTTGGTGTTGTATTAATGAAACAAATATTTCTTTATCATTGAAAAATTAAATCAATTGATATCAAAAATCAAAAAATTTTTTGACTTAAAAATTATAACGTTTAAGTAAAAGAGTGGATCAATTTTTTAATTATTACTTTTCTGTACTTATAATTTGGATATTTCTAAAATTATTCTTAAAATAATACTTCTAACTTCAATAAACTTATGTAATATTTGAAGTCTAGTTATTGTTTATTTATAATAATATGCATGTCTTCATATTTTTTTAGGCAAATATTATAAAGTTGGTTTTTTTTAAAATCAAGGTAACTTCTCCTATTTCAAAAATTAATAAGAAAAAAATCATAAAATAATAATCAAATTTTCTGTCATTAATTAAGTAAGTCATGTGTCTTGATTTTGAATTAGTTGAACTTAAATACTTTTAAGCAAATATAATAGAAAGAAAATTAAATTGAATTTATTATTCGCAATAAAATATATTAGATATTTAAATTATTAAAAGTATTTTTAATTTAGACTGTTGAGATTAAACAAATAAAAAAATCCAACGAATTCTCATTATTTTAAATTATACTCTAAGCTTATGTTATTTAAATAATTCGAAAATTAAGGAAAATTTTTTGTAGTTCAAAATTTAAAGTTATAAATAGTCACAAATAACAGGTTAACAATAAAATATAATAATAAGCATCTCAATAATTTTAAAATAGAAATAAAAACTGAAAAATGTTGTTTATTGAAGAAACTAAATAATAATGTAAGTTTAAATGCATCATTAATAATTGATTGGTATAGTTTTAGTTATTTATAATGGTTTATTCATATGTTCTAGAATAATATAGAAATACTTATTGCATATTAAGGAAGATAATTATGATAATTCATTTTATACACTTAAATTTATTTATAATTGATCAAATACTACATTAAATATAAATTATATTATTTTAATAGTTTTTTTAATACTTTTTGTTTATAATAACTTTTTAAAGACAATTCTTCAAAAAGTTTTTTAGGATGATAAAAAATTAAAAGATAAATTTTTATCTTTTAGTTCTCCTAAACTAATAAGTAAATAAAATATTAACTTGTAATGAATAATTATTTAAATGTAATAGTATTTTCCAAAAAAAACTTTGATTTCAATCAAAATAAAACAATAATAAATTATAAATTTAAAAAAGACGACAAGAACTTTTATTTATCAGATATTATCGAATTATTCTGATTACTATCATTAAATATATTTATTTAAATTCAAAGAAATAAACAAAATGAATTTATAATTCATACTATTAAAGAGAAACATAAAAAAATATTAAAGTATAAGTTAATTTTAAGTAAATTTTAAGGTTTCTAAAAAATATTAATAATTTATTTATTCATTTTTAAGTTGATTGGGTTAATGTATGATATATTTATAAGCTAGATGTGAGGTTATTTCTTAAAATAGTTTTTCTCTACTTAATTTTCTAATAATAAGTTTCTAAATTTATAATAATAATGTGATACTTATAATTTTAAGAGAATTTTTTAATATATCAAGAATTAAAAAAAAAAGTATAATAAAATAATTGATAAATATTACTCCTCCTAATAATTAGTTAAATTATTCATGTTTCTAGATAGAGGATGAATAGAGTTCAAATAGAACAAAAAAGAAATGAGTTACCCAAAGATTTCCTAATAGTAACTTATATTTTAATTCAAATTAATGTTTATCAATTATTGATAATACAAGTTTTGCTGCAATAATTAAGGAAGCCAATAATAGTTAATAAATTTTAATTTTTGCCATCATCATAATAATTAAAATATAAGAAGTATTTAATAAAACAATAAAACGTAATTTTAATTTTTGTTTTTTTAAATATGTTTAGATTTTCATTTGGCAAGCTATATAAGATATTACATACATTATTTTCTAAATAGTATTATTATTTTGTGTTAATACAATATAAAGTGATAGAGTAAAATAGTTTATGAAATAGATAAATGAATAGATTGCATACTTTATAAATTTTTAATTTATGTTTTTATAAGAATATTGACTTTGGTTTTTATTAATTCTCATTAAAATTATGATTATTAAACGAATTGATGAAGATATGGCTATAGATATAATTATAATCAAATGTTATTTAAAAATAAAAGAGAATTCTTCTAGTATTAATTTTTGATGAAATTCTTATTAAGTTTTTTCATTAATAAAATCAATCTTTTAAGGTATAATCATTTAGTAAGGGATAAATAATTCTTAGAATGATTCAAAATATTTTGGGCTTTAAATTTTAAATTTTTTTTAGTATGATATCAATTGGAAAAGAAATAATATTTCTAAGTATTTATTAGATTTAATGAAGAAAAAGTTAGTTATAAAAATGATATTATAAGTATTTAACAATAAGTCAAATAATTTAATGACATAATCCAAAAGAGAGAAAAATTGATCATAAATTGTAAAATAATTAAGAATTAAGATCTATTTTTCATAAATAACAACAGTATTATTAAATAGTACAAAATTTAGATATTAATCAATGCATGATTGATTAAGATTTAGTTATACAAAGAATTTTTGATTGTCAAATTTTTAAAGTGATGATTTATTTATTGTGTAATTAAGTTCGCCACAATTATTATAAAGATTTTATGTAATTTGTTTGTTTGTTTTATAAGATAGATGAAATTATTCTTTATCAATATTATATTAATAATTGAGAATAGTGATTTCATAATGTCTTAGATTAGAATAATATTTATCTAATTTATTTTCTTGTAATTAAATATGCATAATAGGTTTATTAATGCAAATATTACCACATAAAAAATGATATTCAATTTAGCAATTAGAATTACAACCATCATTATCTAATAAGTTACCATCATCACATTATTCTTCCTATGTTAAATAACCATCTCCACAAATACTTTGACAAGAATTTTAATGATAATGATATCCTTTTTCAGGTAGACAATTAGAACATTAATGATTATTTTCAGCACAAGTTATACAATTATATGGATTATATTTACAAGTTTTACAAATAGGAGAACATTAATCACAAGAATAATCATTTCTTAAATAATATCCATCAAAACATTATACACATTCTTTTTAATTACAAATCTAACAAATATCAATTTAACATTTAGATTAAGTTAATTTACATTAATGACATCCATTACGTTGAATTGATACTCCATTATCACATTCTTCATTCCATTATATAATTCCATCACCACAATTTGTATAACAATAATGATCTATTGTAGGATTATTCAATAACTAACAATTTTAACATTATTATTAACCAATATCAAAATATCCATCTTAACAAACACATTCAAAATAATCCATATACATGTTTTTTCTTTTTCTACCTTAAGAACATTTAATACACTTATTAAATTCTGATGAATCTATGCATTCTAGACATGTATAATGACAAGGAATGCATATTTAATTACTTAAATAATATCCTTATTAGCAAATACATTAATTTTATAATGTTAGTACTCTAAATTACTATATATCACAATCAATACAAGTATTATAATTTTGACAACTCTTACATGTATTTTTACATTCTATTATTATTATAATATAATTAATTACATAAACAAATATCGTTAATAAAGTCGTGATAATATCCTTCTTAACATATACAATCATTTTAATTAAGTACTTTATATTATGATAAATAGCATTCAGTACATATAAATTCTTTGTATTAACATTGTTTACATTTTGGCAAACATTTTTAACATGATTAATTTCCATTTTATTCATAGTATCCTTCTTAACAAATACATGATCCTGATTGTAATATACGATTTTCAGAAGGATTACAAGATGTACATCTAGCCGTACTATCGATACAAGTTAAACATTAACTTTTACAAGGAATGCATTGATAATCTTAATTTAATATAGAACCATCTTAGCAAATGCACAAATTAAAATATCTTACTTAGAATTATCCATCACAATTTGACTCTATGCAATTAATATTAAATAGAGGGTTATCTCGACACAATCTTAAAGGTTAAAGTCTTGAATTTTTATGATTTTTTTATAAGTAACATTCACCAGAAAAAAGTATAAATCCTTCTTTACATTCCAGGCATTATTAATTTTTATTGCATCTATTACATTTTCCTTCACACTATTGGCACTCAAAATTAGAATATATATAACCTTATGGGCAATTCATATTTTCTTCTAATTGTGCAATACATCCAGATTCTTAATTACATTCTTCACAATCATTTGAACATTTTGGAGATATCACTAATAATTCTGATATAAAATTAAAACACTAAAGTTAAGGACATCCTTTACGTATTATTTAAAGTTTAGAAAATCCTCTATAATTTTCTAATTCAAATGTTTTACTTTTAAATTCAAATCTATAATCATTTAAACTTTCAGCTCCAATTTAAGCTTTCACAATCTCTAAATCAGTTATAGTAAAAGAATAAGAAAAATTAGCAAAATTTATTATAAGTGATTCATTAACACTTGCATCTACAATTATCAACTTAAAAGATATTTCTATTTATTTCTTCAATTTAATTTCTATTTATAAATTTCTTTAGAATAATTCATAAGTAATACTATCATATTTATAAAATGTTTAATTAGGTGTCAGATAAATATGATTATTCATTAAAAATTCCATATTGTTGAAATATTCGAAATTATGCAAAACAATAAATTTATGGTTAATTCTATCTAAACAAAAATTATTATCATCTATTGTTCCCAGTGGACACTTTAAAAAACAACCTGATTGATGAACTTTATATTTGCATTATAAACTTTAAATCTAAAATACTTTGAAATCACCAAAAGCCCAAGCTACGTTTTGTTGAAGTAAACTAAAGCTGCCTTCAATTTTCAAGCTATCTAATTTTGTTAAATTATAAAACAATTTATAGAATTTTAAGATCTTACAATTTTAGAATGAAGTAGACATGCAATTTTAATTTTCCACTATATTTTTCTGAGATATATAAAATTAATTCTCAAATCCATTGATCGAATAATAAATTATACCTAAGTCATAAATTTCATAGAGTAAAAATATTGTAAATTCTACTCTTATATTAATTTGATTAATAAATGTTAGGTTTAAATTTGGATATTCCAATCCTTCATTTAAAAAAAATGGTCCTGCGTAAGTATTTTAATTAATGATTATTTCTTTAGACCTATTTGTTGTAATTTAATTTAAAATGTTATTTTCGAGATATCCATTTTAAATTTCTAATAATAACTTTGTCTTTTCAAATAAGAGGTAATTAGAGTAATGTTAACCAAGATAATATTATGTTTATAAATCTTCTGATTTATTAAAATTATCAATTTTTTAACATTGTTTTAATAAATTAAGGTTGTATTAATCTTAACATTTTAAACATTCTAAATCATGACATAAAGCACAATTTTCATGACATTTTAAGACAAAAACTTAAAGATTTTTAATAAGATGTTCATAATTCAATTTAATTACTATTTCAATATAGTTTTATTGCTTTGAAATTTGATCCAAAACAAAAATATAATTTTAATTATCATTAGCCATATTTAAACAATAACAATTGGAAAAATTATCTTTCATTAACATTTCTAATAATTATTATTATAAATTGATTATTTACTTTACAGTGATTTATAATTCTATAACTATTCTGGATTATTGATATCCAATATTATTTGTTGTAATATTATATATTGATTAGTATTGATATGATTGAAAATTATTAGGGTCTTAATTTATTCTTTAATTTGTGCTTATTGGTTATAAATCATCATTTAGCAAAGTCCAAACTGGAGATCCCAAGCCTTATTATAAATATAAAGTTAGAATGCAAATTCCATATAAAATAAAATTCATTTTTAATATTTATGACTTATTATAAAGAAACTTTTTGAGATGAGAAATAGTAGCCAATAAATAATATTTAATTATTATATAATTATTCATAATAGTTAAATAAAAAGAAACAATGATAATTTATAATAAAAATTTATATAATCCTTAAAATCGATTTATTTTTGAATTGAGTTGTTATAATTTAAAATAAAATGATTTATATAAAAATAATAATGTATTCCGTAATTTATAAATAAATTAACAATTTAAAATGAAATGAGAAAAAAAATGTAATATTTATAATTAACATAACGTAATAGTTTCATTTAACTACATTTTCATAAACTTCAGAATTTTTTTTTCTAATTTCTTTTAGATTGAACCGTTTTTTGGTAGTAGAATTAGTAATTTATGATCCAACTTAAGATTATTATGATGGTAATTTAGGTGACCAAAATTAAGAATGTTAATGAACTTTTTCTGGTGATTTCATTTAAGAAAGTAGAATGCTTCTTCCAATATCTTAAAGTGGTAATTCTGAAGCAGATACTCCTCTCTTTCTATCATCAGTTTCATTTTTAGGTCTAGTAATACTAATAGTCATTCTGGTATAACGATCTTGACTAAAATAAATTAAAATAGTTTGATACACAATAGATTAAATATCATTATCAATATTATTAGAAATTTATTAAACATTTCCATTGGATACTTATCTTTATTTTAAAAATGGTTTTTTCTATTCAGATGATCTAAATTGTTCAATAAATCCATTAATGTTTTATCTTTGATTTATAGAAGATTATTAAGAATTGCTAGGATAATTATCTGTAGGTATAGTGTCTCTTTAAAATTTGTCTAATTGTGCTCTACATTTTTAGCATCCTTTTAAATAACCCAATCTATATTATTCTTATGCTTTTTTTAGATTTTTTTCAATTTAAACTCCTTTTTCATAAACTTTTCCTCTCATATAATAAGTAATAGTCCAATCTTTATTATTTTCTTCTATTTATTCTAATAAAGTAAAGAAATCTTCAAAAACTATTTCATTTTTTCTCAAAGCTTAAAATCTTAAACTGAGTAATTTCTATGCACATTTTAAATCACCTTTCATACAACCTTATTCAAAAATTAAATCAGCCATAACTTAATTCTATTAAACTTCATCTTATAATCCTTAATATAGTAATAATCCTAAATCATAAAAAGCAGGTAAATAATCTAGATTTTTAGCTTAATTCAATAGTGGTTAGATTAATTAACTTCGATTCTAAAAAAAAATATATAAATTACTTTATAAAGTGGTTATTTATACATAGTTTAATAAAGAAGGGCTAATTTATGCATAGCTTAAGTAGAATTTTTATTTTTAGCTTATTTATAATAGAATTCTGCATTTGAATAATCTTTTTCTAAAGTATCTATTAAATAAGATTTTGAATATATATTATTACAATCCTATAATTATAATCCATTACTATAAAGATCTCCTAAATAGATCATAGATTCTAAATGATCTAATTCTGCTGCTCTTTTTAGTAGAGTCATAGCAAATGTACAATCATAATTTCGATTATATACTTCACTTGAATATTTACTTGCTAAAGTATTATCATCTTTATCTGAAAATTTATCATAGACTTTTCCTTCCTTAAAATTAAATAAAATAATACTAAAACTAATTTAGATGTATGATATAAACTAAAAGTATTTCTTTAATCTGCACTTTTTTTAAAATAATTAAAAGCCTATAATTAAATCAAATTAATATAACTTAATCATAATCTTTAGGTCCTGTAATACCTTCTAAACATATTTATCCCATTATTGCTTAAGCTATTGGATTATTTTCTTCTGCCAATTTAGTATATTATTATAGAGCTGCTATTTAATCTCTTTCTCTACCAAGTCCAGAAAATAATTCATGAGCATTTCTTAATCTATGATCTACCTATTGCTATACTTTAGTAGCTTAAACAGGTTTTGTTTATTAGGTTTATTATTATTTTTATGAAATCTATTTAAAATCAAATCTCTATATTAATGTATCTAACCATTAATCTAAAAATTAAGAAATTTCCTATTAAATCATCTCTTTATTTATAGTTATGTTTTTATTTTCTAAAGTATGTAATTATTCCCAAAAAAAACTCAATTAATCTAATTATCTTATATATTTATCATATTGTTTAAATGATGCATCTTTACCACATAATTATACCTTATCTACTTATTAACAAGCTTCAAATGCTTCTTAAATTGTACGAATTGTATCTCTTGCCAAATAATACAATTATTAATTGATTTTTATTGTTACTTTATACTACTATGTACTATAATTCTTTAGAATCTGAGACATTTTAGTGAATACCTACTAAGAAAAGATTTTTCTATTCTAATCAATATTAGAACTCATCTAAACTTATGATAACATATCAGCTTAATTATATATTACTTTAATACATATCTATTAATGAGCTATCACATATTTAAATCCATCATAGAATTACTAATCTGCTTCTGTTTACTATTATTATTATCATTGCAACAAAATGTTACCTAATTTGCGTTAGACATTAACAATTGAACTTGTTCGATTATCTTTTGTAACAACTTATCTTTATGTAGAAGCATCTTTTCATCTCCTACCTCTGCTGATAAACGAGAAGAATGACTATATTGTTATTAATTCATATTTTAAACTTTTTTTTATAATAGTCCAAAAGTTTTGGTTATTTCTTTTTTTGATCTTTTACCAAAGTCTACCAAACATCATCTAACTTCTCTTCCAGTTGATACTTACTTATTTTCGACAAAGAACTATTCGCATCTTTTACAAATTATTTTTGTAAATCTCTTATTTTATTGAATTTATGTTCAGAATATGCTTTATTTGAAATAACCTGCTAAAATGTTTCATTCACATTATTCAAAATACGTTAAATTTCTTATTATTAATTTAATCCTCTTCTAGGTAACTTTTTTTACTTTATTGGAGCATCTACTTCTCTGATTATGTCAAATTTTACATCTGGATAATACATTTTTTATGCATTTTTAATTTTTAACATTCTATCCTGTGATGAATGTACTGAAACATCCATTTTTCTTCTATCTTTTCTTTAACTTTCACCTTCTGATTAATGCGTTAAATTTGTAGTTTGTTTTCTTGTCAATATTCTACTTGACACTGAATTTGCTATTATATCTTCAACGAAACCGAATTATTATCTTCTTTTAGGTGATGCTAAAGTCTACGAATTTAAAGGATATCTAAGCATTTTTGATAAGCCAATACCACTCTTTAATTATTATTGTGTGGTCTGAGATTAAGATTATGTTTCTTTCGGTATTGGAGGAAGTCTTGTTGTTACTTTATCAAATCTTAAACTTAACATCTCTTTTTTTGATGAATTCGAAAGAGATTAATAAGATCTCACTGATTAATCTAATACACTATTTAAATGTTATTTCATGGATCTATTATTTTTGTATAATTTTATAAATACTTCTACATTTCAAAATGCATCTATTGACTATTGTCCAAATGATATATGTTATTTTCAATGAAATCAAATTTTATTCGATCTGTTTTAAAAACATCAATTTCATCTAAAAATTCATCTGATGATAAATCTAACATTTATTTCTTAGGAAATTGCCATTTATATTTCTCTTAAAGATAATGCTTTATAGCTTATATTCCAATTAATAATTCATCAATTTCTTGAATTGATATTTCTTATCTCTTAGAAGTTCTTTGCTCCTTTATGAATAATCCTATTTGCTTCTATTTTTTTATTTCTTTTATTTATTTTTTCTTTTCTTTTAATTGAGACTCTCTATTTCTAATCTAAAAAATTAATTGCTGTCTTCTTTCTAAATTTTCACTCTAAATGAGATTAGCTTCTTTGTATATCTCAAGTAGATGTTCTTTAATTTCATACCAATTTCTTAATCGCTATAACTGTTATTCCAACTAAAATTTCTTGAATGTGATTCAGTTTCATACCTTAATTTTGTTTTTAGTCAATTCAATTGCTTGAAGACGGGAATTATATTTGTCTAATAAATCTTTTGAAGGAGACTTAGGTTCAGATTCATCTAAATTCCAACTCTCCTCCATTGAGGAGTTCATTTTATTATACAGAATTAATAAATTAACTTATTTATGTTTACATTATAAACAATTATAAATAAGATATAAACATTTAATCATGAATTTCTCCTTGATAATGTTATAAGGGTTCTTTATATATCATTTCTATCAAGATGTTTGTTAGATTAAATATTATTCAAAAAAGTAATTAATAATATAAATTTATAACTTTTTTTCTTTATGATATATTTATGATATCATTAAACTGATTAAATATCTGTTTTTAAATGGATTTCTATTTATAATATATTATATGAGCTCCGACTAATTTTAAGTAAAACAAGAATTGGAATAGTAGAAATGAAATTGAGTAAAATTAGATAGTCAATTTTAATCGAAGTTCTCCTTATCAATTTGAGATAAATATAACGAATATACCCATAATGTTATGCAAACGTAAAGTATAACATTGCAGATAAAAAATGATATTATAAGTATCATCATATTCAGACTTTGCTTAACTTTTTGAAGAAATCTTGAAAATATAATTTCAATAATTTCTGATTCCAATCTATAAAGGATTTCAGATCCCTATGATCACTATAGTTTTATTTCTTAGATTAGTTAATCATAAAGTGATGTCAGATCATTCTGATTTGAAATATTGCTTATTTTGTATAAATATTTATCTTTAATTATTCATTCTAAACATCATAATCTAAACATTGAAATTATCGATTGAGAACTTACATATTTAGAGGATCTCTTAGATACAATTATTAAAAATATATAATAAATTTAATTTAATCATTGTATTCAACAATTTCTATTTATTATTAAACCTATCTTCTTATTAAATAAAATTATTTAAAGAGATTCCAATCAAAGAATCTACTTTTATGTAATTTTATTCTTGTTTATATCATATGATATCTCATTATTAATATTAATATAAAATTATTGATCCGTTTTCATTATTTTTATTATTAATGTACAAACTCATAGCTTTGGCATTGATTGTTTCTTCTGTATTTGCTGTTTAAAAGGATACAAAAACTATTTTGGCAGAAATAGACGCTGACAACTTTGGAAACTCTATTCTCTCAACTGTCCAAATGTATTTACAAGCAAGAGGAAATGCTGAAGAAATCTTAGTTTTACTTAATCAAGTCTTAGCTGGATTGGTTGACGATTAAAATAAACATGACAATGTTATTAGAGTTGACAGAGCAGCATGCACTCGTATTGTTACTGATTTAGAAAACTCTATTGCTTATCATACAGCTTAAGTTGCTGCAAATGTATAAATGAGAGAAGACAATGAAAAAGCTTTGGCTGAAGCAGAAAATGATGTTAGATAAACTATTTAAGTAATAATCTAATTAAATTTAAGGATATTGAAAGTAATGAAAGAACATTTGCTCAAGAGGAAGCTAACAGAAATAAAGCTCATGAAACTTGGGTTAGAAAGAATGGAGAACATGATGATGCTATTGCAGCTGTTGATGAAGCTACCAAATTAGTATAACATCTTTCTTTGGGTGCCACATTTGCTGAGCTTAAACCAAAATTTGAAGCTGTATAAAAGAGATTGATTGAAAATGAAAGTCATGGTGCTCTATTCTAACCAATAGTCACAGCCTTAACAGAATTAGCCACTAAAGTTGATTAAAAGGCAATTTAAAGAATTCTTCAATTACTTTCATAACTTAGATAATAATTGGTTGAAGCTAGATCAGTTTTAGAAGTAAAGAATATGAGATTTAATTATAATAGGACACCGAGAATAGATAAGCTTAAAGATGGGTTGAATTTTCTACTCATTTGAGCAATGAACATAATAGATTGGTTGATAGAAAGAATCAATTAGAGTAATCAATCCAAACATTCAAGACCAATATTGATACAGCTACTCATTTTTATGAAGTTCATCAAGTAAGAGATTATAAAATCTATTAAATTTTAGTTAGAATTAGAATAAGCCCAAGAAACTTTAGATGCTGAACATGAATGGTGTGAGCTACAAGAAAATACTTATAGCTTTTAATCTTCAGAAAGAACAAGATAATAAGAAATATTAGAGAGAATATTAGAGCATTTGACTGAAAAATTAACAGCTACATCCTAATACCTTGGTGGCAGATTCTGAGATTAATCATAAATATTAAATATTATTATGGGACAACAATAAATCTAGTAACAAAGACCATTAAATGAGCTAATCAAAGATGTGGCTACATTTAATCTGTTAGCCAAGTAATCAATGTTCTAATTCAAGATCCCCAACAATCCGATCTAACTTAGGTAAACAATTACTTGCAGAAGTGACTAAAAGGAAATAAGATTTATTTGATTCCTTACCATTTCTTAAAAAGTAAGACGATCTTTGTATTGGAATATTTTTGGATAGGGAATATTTTTAAATTACCTAGGAGAAATTCTACTATAGCAAACAATTATTGGAAGATTTATCATCAATTTTAATGGTTGATCCATAAAAAGAAGAAGGTACTTGTCAAATATGTTTTGAAAAAAAAATTGACAAGTTATTACCTTGTGGACATAGTTATTGTTAAGATTGCATAGATGGGTGGTTTATACTCAAAGAATAAGATTCCTGTCCTATGTGTAGAGCTTAATTGACAAAATAAAAAATGAAAAACGAGTCTTATTATGTACCAAATGAAGCAGAATTGATAGATTCCTTAAAAGAATAGCTTATTATGTAATTAAGCGAAAGGAAATGAATTTATTATTAATTTTTTTAATTATTGTTATGGATTTCGAGCACTCTGACTATTTTACATAGAGAGTTGAATAAATAATAAAAAATGTAAGATCATATTTAGATTTAGTTCTTGCATATTCCAGAAGAAGGAAATTATAATTGGAAGGAGATTTGTTAAAAATTAGATTAGTTGTAAAGTTAATTGATGGAAGCATAATTGTATACAATGATTATATATAAAAAGGAGCATACTTCAATATTTAAAATAAAAATTTGAAGCTATTTAGGAATAATTATAATTTGATTTAGAGGACATGTAAATTTCGAGCCTATAAAAAAATGGAACAAATTAATAAATTCATCCTTTGAAATGTGAAGATGTAAAAGTGAATGAAAAAATAAATTAAATTGGATTGAATATTTATGAGATAGAGAAACGATTGGAGAATAAAATAGATTAATTAAATGGTAAAGTAGAAAACATTAGAATAAATAGAGATGAATTATAAGAGTAAATAAAATCATTTGATGGTAAATAAAATTTATGTAGTATTAGCTCGAATGGAATCTTAATGGTAAGGCTTAGCTAATGTATCTGATTAATTTTGGTAATTTAAGAAGTAATTTGAGCCATTTTAGATTGGAACATAATAGCCGAAAAAAAAATTCTCTCTGTTTACATGATGATTGATTTAATTTATGTTATTATTAATAATGTACTATATATTGATTAAATGGATTGTTCATTAACCGATTAAGGCAGATGCAGTCTTTGATACACTAAATATTTAGAGATGTTAGCTTACTATTTCCAATTTGATGGTAATTTTTGGGTTCTTCTATAATATCTGCTGAGTCTATGAATTCTGCTTTCAACCAAAATCAATCTGAATTTGCTTGTAATATCTCCTCTATTCTTTTCTAAATGTTTTCTGATTTGGACAGCCTTCTTAATAAGAGCATATAAGTCTTCAGGGATTTTAGGTGCGCAACCTTGAATTTGAGTCATTAAGGGGAAGAATTACCTCTTTTCTTTAAGATTCTTAAGATCTTTTGACCAGTTAAGAATCTGGTTTATGGGATTCCTTATTGATCTCTCAAATAAACACCAATTTATGATCCATTTAGACCTGAAATTATATTATTCTTATACCCTTCTTTGCCAAATTTACAATCTAATCAACGATGGACTTTGATGAGAGTGTCAACCATTTTGGAGCTTTTCTTTTGTATGGAAGGGCTGATCCAGAGATACCCTTTCCTTTTCCCTTAGCTTACATACGTCCCATAATTTATTTAAAGATTTAATTTTATTTTAAATTTTATCCATTAAATGATTAAAATCACTCATGCTTGTAGAATAGCTTAGGCTTCTCGATTGAGTTGCTTTTATAATTAAATAATTCATACATTCCATGATGCCATAAAGAGGGTTCGAAATTATTATCATCATCAATGAAAAAGAATTTCTTATCTAATTCAGGAACATCAAATTTGTTTTCCCAAATTGGTGCACCATCCATTAATTGACTAATTTCAGATTTTATGTTTTATTAATAAATTGATCCTGCTGCAATTCTAATATTATACTCATTTCCATTTACCTTGATCCAAAATATGTGACACCTACGATAGCTGCTTTAAAATAAATTGCTAATTTCTTTGCAACTGGAATCCTATTAACTGCTTCCAAACTTAAATAAGTAGATATTAATGATGCTTTATTTTGGAAGCTGTTAACTCCATTTATTACTTAAGACACTTTATTATGAGTTTCTGTTGGTACCAATGAAGTATGAGTCCACCAAGTCTTATTCTAAGATGAAAGACTAATATACATTTAATTTAATTTTAATATTGTATTACTTTAATAATATGATATACAGTGTTTAAGTTCAATATATATTATTTTATATATGAATTTCTTTAGAGAATTAGTCTCAGGATAAAAAGTTAGATTTATTAATGGACAATATAATTTGGATCTAACTTATATTACTAATCGAGTTATTGCAATGTCATTTCCAGCTTCAGGATTTGAGAGCACATTTAGAAACAATATTGATGATGTTGTCAAATTTTTATAAGAACATCATGGTGATAAATACATGTTGTATAACTTGAGTAATAGGAAATACAATTATGAGAAATTTGGAGAGAACAGAGTAATTAGAGTGATATTAATCTCAGATTCTTGAATTTGCATGGGAAGATCATCATTCACCTCCAATCGATATGTTATTTGATGTTTGCAAAAAAGTGGATTCATTTTTGAATGAAGATATTAACCATGTGGCAATTATTCATTGTTAAGCAGGAAAAGGAAGAACAGGAACATTAATATGTTGTTACTTGTTATATAGTGGAAGAGCAAGTAATCCAGATGAAGCTAGACTCTATTATTCTAAAAAAAGATTTAATAAAGCTAAATCAGGAGTGACCTAACCATCTTAAATTAGATACATAGAATATTTCAATCAAATCTTTAAATCACCTAATTATTGTGCTTAATTGAAAAAGTTATCAGCAATCACTTTAATTGGGTATATATGATATATATATATAGTCCATCACCTAAAATGTCAGGAAATACAAGTAAACCATATGTAGATATCTACACAGTTAAGGATATGAGAAAGTAATTTATTATTTTTTGTAGAATGTAGAATATTTAGTGGTTTATAGGAAGCATAAGCGAAAAACTATGAATATAAAGGAAGTGAATTGGTTTTGTAATTAAATTTAGTGATATATGGAGATATTCTGATAAAGTTCTTTCATAGTGGTAGTTTAAGATAGAAATTTATGTTTAGACTAGCATTCAATACATGCATGATTGATGAATCAAAGTAAAAAAATAATATAGATTAATTTAGTCAGTTGTTATTTTATCTCTAGAATTTAGATCCAGATTCAACATTTAAGAACAAGAAGTTCAGCAAAGATTTTTAAGTGAGATTGTTATTTTAAGATGTTTGTGAATAGTGTACTTAGAGACAATAATTCTAATAGAAATGTTAAAATTGTCAATAAGAAATGTAATCGGAGTACAATTCATGGAATCTAGTGTACCAGATAATGAATGTATATAGATTAAATAGATTTGATAGGAATATCCAAAGTATAAATTAATGTAGAGTAAAATTTTATTATTTGGGGATCCTCAAGATGATGATTTCCATGAGACAATAGTAAAATTATAAAATGGAGATCAGATTGAGTCTGATGATGATTCAGAGAATGATTAGGATAGTGATGGAGAATAAAAATAATAGCAATATTGATTAATTAATATTAATAAAAACGGTATTTATAGTATAATAATAAAATAAATAATGAAGAGTGTAACAGGAGTGCTAGTGATTTTACTATTGAGTTAAAGTGTTTTGTGCAGTCCAAAGAAGATCAACACAGATTTTTTGAATTTGCTTAGTTCTAAGACAAATGTGATGAGTTCTTAGGATGCCATATAATCTGTATTGACACTCTTGGAAGACTTATAAGGGGCTAATGTTGAAGCTTAAGATAAGGCAGATCTTACATTCTAGAGATTTGAGAATGCTATCTTATAAGATATCAATGAATTCTCTGGAATTGTAAATGTTAATTCTAAGAGTGCTGCAGCTGCCTCATAAGATTTAGAAGCTGTTGAGTAATTCTTTATTTTACTTAATTAAGTTTAAAGATTTAATAAACTACAGATTATTTGAATTGGAATAATAAGAGATATAAGGCAAATGAACTTAAATTAGAAAATTTAGCTGAGTATTCCTATATTATCATTATATTATAGATAACGTTGTGAAGCTAATGCTTTATTCATTGATACCCTTAGAGAGTACAAAAATGCACTTTCAGTACTTGATTGGGTTAGAAGTGATGCATAAACTAAATAAACAAATCTAGTTGAAAAAAGTCATGTTGGTGATTACGCTGAGAAATTGAGCAAATATGCTAATCTTTTTGAAGAATAAGCAGTTTAAGATTTTGTTAATTTAGGAGATGATTAGAATTCATTCTCATAAACCAGTATATATAAATACTCATTCTTTAGGATAAAGAGCTAATTCTGAATAATTAATCTAATTAATGACTAAAGATGTTGTAGGAATTGTTTAATAATTAATTGAAAAATTAAGAGATACCATTAAAGGATTAGAAGAACAAGAAATCTAATCAGCTAATGATTTTGCTGATTTCAAAACTAATCTATTAGCTGAATAAGAATCATTAAAATAAGAATATGATGCTAAGGCTAAATTCTTGAATTCCTTACAAAATGATAAAGAGTTAGCTTCTGATATTTTAACCAAAAAGAAGGAGTTACAAGATTAAAGCATGAGAATTCTCAGTTTGACTTAGGGTAATTAATATATCTAATCTTCATTTTTTAGAAGAGTACAATTATAAGAAGAAATTGTATAATGCTGAAAAAACAAAGAGACATGAAGAAAATCAATTATTGGAAGAATCTTTGTTGATTTACAGAGAGAAAATTGCTACTGTTAATGAGTATCTTAAAAAAAGAGTTAATGAATATGTTGGAGATTCTTTGATTGAAGAACATGCAGTCACCAAATAGTAATCTGTTTCAGCAAGAAAAGGATAATGACACCATATCAATAGATATAAATTATTATTAACTAATATATGTCATATAAATATATATAATATATATATAGCTTTCATTTTTTATCTGGTGATTATTAGAATCTTCTCTGTGTATTTTTTTAAGTTTATTGATGTTATAATTTTGAGAGATCGATATCATATTAATATCCATCAAATAGTGCTATGTCTATATTTTACTATATTACCTTAAACAGTGTCTCGACGAAGCATTCCTTGATTCTCAAGTAATTATTCATCATTCAATTGAGTCTCTTCAGATATCTAATTTTAGAAATCAAAATTATTGTCTACTGCCTAAATTTTTTTAATTTTTTTACTCCTGGAATATAAAGAGCTGTCAGTTTCTTTTTTAAGAGATCATCCCATGGAAATCCTTTGAGCCATGGATGATGAAGAATTTCTTCGATTCCATTGGCTCCTAATCTTCTTTCTGGTTTACGTTAAATTAACTGAATATGATACTATTAATACTGTATTAACGAAATCCATAGCATTTTCGCTCCAATAGTTAGGCATTTCTTCTTTCTTAACTTGGACTTATTTAGCCAAGATTTATTCACGAATATCTTGTCTAGTTCTACCATTATATGGTCTACGTCCAAGCATTAATTCATATGTAATAACACCTAATGCATAATAATCTGCAACAATAGAATGATCCATTCTACACATAACTTCAGGTGCCATGTAACCTGGAGTACCAGAAGTATCTCCAGCATTATTTCCCTTATTTATACGTGCAATCCCTAGATCAGTTAATCTCATATAACCATCCTCTTCAAGTACTAGATTCTCTGGTTTTAAATCTCTATGAATTATACCATGTTAATGTAAATATGTTAAAGAGAGTAGAATACAAGCAACAAAAAACTCTAATAACATAATATATAGAATAATACTTGTTTAAGCTTCACTGAATCTTCTCATTTTACCTAAATGAAATCTTAAATCACCTCCTGTTAATAGATCAATAATTAAAAATAGATTTTCTCTATCTTAGAATGCATATGACATATTTACAAGAAAAGGATGATGTAAATTTTCTAACAAATATTTCTCATTTAGTACAGAATTTACACTACGTTTCTAAATTATCTTAGCTTTAGACATTTCTTTTAAAGCATACATTTTTTTATTTTTTTTCATTTCTACTTTCCATACTCTTCCAAATCCTCCTTTACCAATAACATATAAAAATTTAAAATGTTAACGTCCCACTATTTCAGGAGGAAAATTCTCAATTTATTATGCTACCAATTATGTTTTATCATTTAATTCAGATTTACGTCCATAAGATACTTTTTCCTTCTTAGGAGAATTGGGAGCTGATTCAGAAATTGAGTTTAATATTTATTCAGATCGAGATTAGGAATTGATTGAATTTACTGAATTTACAGAATTGTATTTGTTAGCTAATTTTAATTTAAATGACATCTAAGTGCTACTTAACATACTTTTACTCTCCACTTTTTTTGGTATTACTCCTTTACTTTTTAATTGATAACTATGTTCATACACTTATGAGTTGCTGATATTACTTTTGTGATAGATAATATTATCTGCGTATAATGGTTTTTTTGCTGATGGTTGACGATTCATTAATAACTGATTTTATTTCTCTCTATTAGGGGATTAATGAGCTGATATTGAACTGCCAACCTTTATATCTCTTTTTGAATCTTATTATCGAATCATTGGACTCTAATTCACCTTTTTACGTGCACATATTGCACAATGTTTTTGATTACATTAACATTCCCAAGTTCCAGATTACTTTCTAATTGGTGCTTTTATTGGCTCACCCTTAAAATGAATCTTAGAATTCATTTATTATTTTATTAGCAAGTCCCTCAGATTTTTAGCAGTAGATTGTTACATATATTTTATTTATTTCGTTAATTATTTTTTTTTACATCAAACCACTATTTTTTTTATTCACATTCTATTTTATTGTTATTACTAAGATTTTTTATTTATAACACATTTATTCATCTACTATCAATCATTCTCAATATCAATATTATAACTAATTATTATATTTTATGGGTTTACATAAATCTAAAGTAATCAAAAAAATTAAAATGGACATGCAATCATAGGCACTCAAAAAAGCACCAACTACTTAATTAAAAGTTTCTATTAAAAAAGCTGAAAAAAAATCAGATGCACTGAAAAGTACTAATTCTTAATTTAGAAAACATCAATTCATCACAGAAAAGAAGGTTTAATTAGATTAAACAAAAATATCAACAGTTATTGATTCACTTAATAAATACTATCACTCGAAGAATGATGGTGATCGTAAAATTTATTTAGTTGTTGAATTACAAAAAATACCAGAATTAATTGAAACATCAATTATTTAAATGTAATCTATAATTCTAATTAGTCCACTAAAAGAAGCTATACATTCTAAAATTGGATTTGTTGTTCATGGAGACTATCTTGAAGAATTCTAAAAAAAATATCCTCAATATAATGTTATGAGTTAAAATGTCTATTTAACTGGGAAATCATTTCCAAATCTTGATTTAATTCTAATAGATTATACACTGTATAATAAGATTATTGATAAGAAACCTAGCAAGTAATATATAAAGAATTAGATTTTAGAAAAATATTTCCATTTCATCCATCTAAAGTACCTTTCGATTATAAGAAACATTATAATATTCAAGAATACTCAGAATATATTAATCATTTAATTGGAAGTACTTTCAGTGTGATGAGAAATGAATTGAAATAAATAATTCCTGTAGGGAAAGTAGGTCAAAGTGGAACAATTGATAATGTTGTGAAGGGAGCAATTGATTTTATTGCTAAATTACTTACTTAGAGTAAAGGAAATGGCATAGAACATTTATATTTAAAAACAAGTAAATCAATTGAGTTATTAATATATTGAATGTTTGAATAATTTACATAAGAGTATTATTAATAAAAATAAGTATTGATGCTAACTTGTACATGTAATATATTGTTCATTTGACTCAATTGATATTAAGCTTAGTTCTTCTCCAATGTCTTCTCTTTGAATTATATCTATAGATTGCATTATCAAATACCTGATTGTATTATCAGTTCTATATCTGAACCAATTTGGTAATGGCCTATTTTATTTATTGGCTTTAATTAATCTTTTCTTCATTCTCAAGGATTTATGAGCTCCCTATTAAACAATAAGTGTGAAGCTATTACCATTTTTAAATCTTTTTTTAATTTATTTAATATAAATCAAATATTCATTAATTCTCACTCAGCAACTCTGCTAAATGTTCATATGATACATAATTTCCTTGTTATTTAACAAAATCGAGTATCCATTCATAAGAATATTGAGTAAATCGATGTGACAATTTTCTAGCCTTTAAAATCATTTCATTATCTTAATTTGAATTTCCAATTAGATTATAGAACCTTAATCGATTATCTATTAATTATATTAGATTTTATTAGATTTTTTCATTCTATTAAGAATCAATTTCTTGTTTTTATATTGCTCTAATCATTTAATTTAAAATATTTACTTATTTATTTTAGGTTGATCTAAGTAATTTGATTTATCTGAAAATATTTAACTTTGATTTAATAAATCCATTGAGTTTTTAAGTTGGCTTAGATCATTTAAATTCTCTAAAACTAAAAATTTAATCGTTGGCCATCCAAATTATTAATACATTTTCTTAAGGAATGTTAGAGCTGGTTCACAATTAATTTCTTCAAATCCATCTGGTTCAGCTAAGAATAATATTTGTAAATTTATACAAGGATTTATGTTTGTAAACAAATGAACTTCTTTTATTTATGGATATAAGGTTTTAATGGCTTCTATAATCTCCTAATAGGATCCAATCTTTGTGGGTAGTTTATGTACTTTTCTTTGATACACAATTTTGATATTTAACATTTTCTTTTATTATTTTTATAAATATTATTTTCATCATTATTCTCATTTTGCTCTATACATTTTTGTAATTTACTATAACTACTATTTTATTAATAATTTTCTATTGTATATAATATACATCCCTTCAAATAGATAATATTTTTGATAAAATAAACATAATAATAAATTAAAAATGAAATAAGTACCATCTACAAGCGATTACTCTATTTTGAGAAAAGTTCAAATCCTTCATACTCATACACAACCAAAGGAATCCAATATCACACTAGGTAGAACTACTAGTTATGAGTCTACTCAATTCTGCAAAAGTTTCGACATTATGGCATTTAGAAGAGCTTCCACAAAAGAAGATATCAATAATACTCTATAAGGAAAGAACTCAATAAGTAATTAAGAAACACTTGCAATCAGTAATCTAAATTTCATTAAGTACTCTAAAATGCATTTTACATATTAGTCCTTCTTCTTATATTGAAATGGATCCATTATAAACCAAGGTATGGAAATCCTTATAGAAATAATCTCTGGTATTATATTTGAATATTATCAAGCAAAAAGTGTATTCAATTGACATAATTGTATTACAAAATCAAAATGAATATGAATTCAAATTTGACATTAGCAAACTTTCTTGCTTTCTCTTAGTAAGAGAGTTATCTAACTTAATTTCTTAAGCCTTTTAGGATAGAATTAATAATTAACCTCGTTAAAAAATGAATTTTCTTTTTCCTTTTTTGTCTATCTTAGTGGGAAGAGTGAAAACTCAGAAACTCGATGGCAATATGAGACTATTTGAATTAGTCAATATATTATTGAATGGCCAAAAGACTCTTATTTTATAAGAATCTAATTAGCAATTTTGATTCAATCTATATATGATAAAAACAGTTTTGTTTTTTTTTCTTTTTTAATTATTATCTAGAATTGTTGTTATATGAGTTATAATGAGTTATTATTGTGTTAAAGTAATAATTAAATTATTAAAAATCACAAAATGCAATAATAATCTATTCACTAATAAAAAATAGTGGAATATACGAATCAAGGTATTATTTTATAGAGAGTATAGGTAATTATGTTGACTTAGAAAATTATATAAGATTAAATTAAATATCATAAATGAATTTTTCATAAGCTTTAGTTGAATGCATCTAATATACAAGAGATAGTGAAGATCACTTATAATGTATTCAATAAATTTTAAAGTAAATAATTTAGAAAAATATTAAGATAATAAATAGATTTCAATTATAAAGATAATCAAGGAAACACTGCTTTGATATAGGCAGCAAAGAGCGGCAAAATCAGTATATTAAATGAAATTATTAAATACAAAGAAAAATTTAAGAATAATTAATTTAAAATAGCACTTGATATTGCAATATAATCTGAATAGGATAATTGGGATATTGTGGAAACATTGCTTTAAGTAACATAACTAGAAAAACCTTAACATTTAATAAAATCTTTAAAAAAAGGCAATTTTAAAACTGCATACAAAATAATTGAATTATATGGTGCTTCTGGATAAGATGAAAATGGTGATACAGCATTACATATAGCATCTCGTATGGGCAATATATAAATAATAAAAAGTATATGTTAAAAAGAAAATTTATTTAAAAAAAAAAATTAATAAAATAAAACTCCACTTGATGTTGCATGTAATTAAGATACAAAAAAATTAATTGAAGAAGAAATGTAATCATATAAATCTCCAAATAAAAGAAGAAAGCAAGAAAATTTAATAGAGAATAACTGTAATTCTTAGAAATCATCCAAATATGAAGAATGCAATGAAATATTTAATAAAATTCCAAAAATATTAAATGATTAAGGAACTTAAACTGAAAATAAAGAAAAAAAAGATACAGAATCATAAATACCAGAATGTAATTATATTAATTAACCATTTTATGATTAATTAATATCTGAGAGTCTAATTACTCTTCCTTAACATAAGATTAATTTTGATGACATTATAAAGTAAATTTTTAATTTAATTTAGATAATTATCATTTGAAATCGATATATTCACTTAAGAATTGAATAAATAATTAGAAGAATAAAGACCCATCATAGACAAAATAGTTTAAATGGTTGACGAAGTATGAACTTTACTCATACAATTATTAGACTGTTTAGTCTGTTTATTCTAAATCTCGTGCCTTATTGTATGGTTCTTGTTAAACTGGTTTAAATCTAATAGATTCAGATATTGATATAGTTATTGAAACTAATGAATAAGAGAGAATTTCTTTATATAAGATTGCTGAATAATTCAAAGTATTATGGTATATAGTTTTAGATAAAAGGATATATTCAGGATGTTAAGGTTATTGATAATGCCAGAAAACCTGTTTTAAAAATGTAATTGTCATAAGAATTTTAAAATAAATTAATTGATATAACAATTAGTAAAAATGATCATTCTGGTAGAAAGACTGCTAATTCAATGATTGAATTTTAAAAAGAATTTAAATAGTTTAAAAGTCTTGCTTTAATACTTAAGTTTTATTTTAAATCTATTAATTTATTAAATGCCTATCAAGTATCTCATATTTATCTATAAGGGTGGTTTGAATAGCTATTGCATTCTTACTATGATTTTAGCTTTATTATAAATTAAACGTGTACGTGACACTGATAATGAAGAGATTGGAAAGACATTCCTAGATTTCTTCGATCTTTATAGTTAAGATATCGACTATTTTAATAAAATTATTAATATTGTCCCTTCACAATCAGAGAATATGTAAATTGATGAACCTAATATTTATTAATAACAATTTCCTTAATTGTAATCATTAAATTATTATTTTAGTGATCAAGTATTATAAGAATTAATTATCTTGGATTTACATAATAAAGGTAATAATATTGCTAGTAGCACATTTAAAATTAAGCATATTAAAGTAACCTTTTTATAATTACATTTTTAGAACGCTTTATCACTTGGTTATAGTGCTATTTTGAATTCTCAAAAATGTGATGAACCATGTTATTTCTCTAGAGATAATAAATCTGTTTGCTGTATTCTTAAATAAATCATTTAATAATCAAAAAATCATCATTTGATAGGATCTTATAAATCAAAACAGCCATTTTATTACTTTAATTTTAATAATACTTATTGATGTAAAAAATTAATATGTAATGAAATATTCTAATATCATGAATTTTAATATAAATTTACAAATCATATATTCAATATATTATAAATAAACTGACTAAAATTTTATCACAACTCTCTTTTTAAATCTTTATTCTAACTTCCAAATGTAAATTATAAATATTTAATATCTAAAAATTACTCTTAATAATAAATCAATAAATAAATATGTAATTTTATTATAAATTTTTTTAACGATTATTTATAAATTTAAATAAAAATAATATTTAAATTGCTCTATTAAAATATTCAAAATATACTCAAAAATAAAGGGAATTGTAATAATCTAAAAATCAAAAAAATCATTAAAAAATTTTGATTGAATCTTGATTTATTTAGGATAATTTCTTTGTCCAATTTCAGGAAGGTTGATTTATTCTTTTAACATAATAATTTATTTTTGCATATCCTGAAGTTATTCAGATTGCTATTAGATATTTATTCTTTTGAAAACAACTAGTTATCTTATTTATTAATTGGTTGATACTGAAATTTACACTATGTGCCTAATAGAATTAGAAGAAAGATATTTTAATTGAAGATGATTAACTATATAATTCATTTAAAAAATGGAAACTATTAAGGGAAAGTGTGGAAGACCAAATAAAAAGAATTCAGAAGATATAGAGTATGAGGATGAAGGACATATTGCTACAAATTAATTTGCACTATAATTATTCTTGTTAATTTCAGAAATGGCCATTTATAAAATACTTACCATTACAGGTTTATCAAAATCGAAAAATATAAAGAATAGAAAGGAAATTGAGAAAGAATAGAGACGTATAAGGTAGAATAAAGGTATAAACGAAGAAAAAGTATTTTTTTTAAGGAATTTTGATGTTTGGCCAAGAGAATACAGTCTTAAGGAAAATAAAATAGAATACTCTGAAGAAAATACAATTTTTTTAGAAGATTTTAAAGATGATAAAAAGAGAGATTTTATAAAAGATATTTAATGTGTTTTTGAAGTATTAAATAAAGAAACCTAATATTTTTTAAAAGGTTTAATAACAATATACTTTTAAAATAATTCATTAGAAGCCTTTGAAGATTAATTTTTTAATTCTTTTAGAGATTATAATGATGAGTATTAAGAAATTAAATAGTGGGATGAATTATATGAGGTTTCTTTTGATTAAAAGTTAGAATAGATGAAAAAGCAATTAAAGGAGTATGAGGAAAAATTTGAATTAGACGCAAATATTTAAGAAAGTAAAAGAAAAGTAGTATAAAAAAGAATTAAAGTTCTATAAAAACAAAAATAAAACATAGAATAATTCTAATCTATAAAAAAACCAAATAGACCTTTAAAGCTTTTTATCGAAAAAATTTATTAGTTATTTAAAACATTTTCTGAATAATATAATAAATGAAAAAAATTTAAATGAATTTAGATTTTAAACATATATATAATTCTATAATAAAAAAAATGCTTACCGACCAACAACAACAATTATTAATCAAACAATTAAAGGATATTACAAAGCAACCAGATTTATTAATAGTGTCAGTCTTAATGTATTTTTAATGGGATTTTGAAAGGTCAAAGGAATTAATACAAAATAGTGGAGATTTATTAACTATAGATTAAATTCCAGAAAATAGAAGATTAAGCGCAGAAAGATTGTTGAGATAATTTGAAGAAGCCTAAAATAATGAAGTAAGAATAAAAATAAAAATAGAGGCCGATTTAAAATATAAATAATAATTCACAGCAATAAGCTTTATAAAATTCTCATCCGAATTCTAATTAAAGAGTCAGTGATGTAAATTAATAAACAAAAAGCCGTAAATTAGCTAAAATAAAAGAAAATTTATAAAAATTAGCAAATTAAGAATGGGAAACTAATTAGATAATTTAAGATAAAGAATTAATAATAAAAAATAATTAAAATGAAAGGGAAAATAATGATTTACAATTAAGAATGCATTAATCATTTGTGGGAATAAAGAAATCTGAAAGGTCTGGTTATTTTAATTGTATTTATTAAATGTTATTCTAAAATCTTGAAATTGTGGGAGCAATTCTAAATATGAATATTTAAAATAAAGAGGATTTAAATGTGAGTATTTTTATAATATCTAGAGTAATTATTAGAATGAATTGCAATATTTGTTTGGCTCTTTAATTCTATCTAATGACAGATTTGTTAGAAATTCTGAATTGTATGTTGCTGCAAGTAGGCTCAATAAATCGTAAGTAATAGGTGGTAAAATAAATTTTGCAACATAATTTGAAATTTAGTTGGGCATTTTAAAATAATTTTTTTAAGATGTCAATAAGTTAGACTATGTCTCTATGATTTAAAACTAATTTTAAGTTTTTTAAAATCATCTATTTTTAACATTAGAATAAGAGGATAGAATGTTATAATTATCTTTGTTAAAAGAAAAGGATAATATATAATAATTTGGATAATCATAAAATTTTAAATCATATTGGGCTTTTGAAATAAGTAGAAAACAACTTGATAAAGAAGAAAACAGTTGTCAGAATAATTTAGATTATTGGTTTCCTGAAAAAATTGATTTAGAATTTTTAGTTTTGAAAGATAAAGCAGAAAAAATCTTAAAAATTTTGGAGGAGGGGGTAAATGAAGAAAAAATTAAAGAAATTTAAAAAAGTATTTATAGCAATAAATATTAGATTAATCAATCTTAAATAATATACAAATAGTGAAATCTTTTTTATGTGAATAAGAAATCGTTTAAAAAGAAACAATTGATGCATTGTAAATGGAAAAGAAAATGTTAAAGAAAAAATTAAACAATTATATACCATTTAATATGGATTTATTATAGAAAAATGCAGAAAATACAAGATTTTGTTATAGCCTTTAGGCCACAGTCATACAATTACAGGAAAATGATTAAAATCTTTTTTATTTATATATTAAAAACTTTGATGAGAACAAGTGGTATAGAATAAATGATTGTTAAATTTAAGCTGTGAGTGATAAATTAGTATTTAAAGACACTCGTAAGTATGGGTGTTTTTTAATTTACGTTTAGTAGGAATAAATAAAAAAAATATTAGAACATTAAAAAAAACTATCCGAAATAGGTAACCTGATTTTAAAGAATCAGGAGGAATTTGTATTAAATAATTATTCATTGCTTTAAAAGTTCCAGTAGTCAGATGCTGGAAAAGTAGAAAAGATTGTTAAAGCAAATCAACTAAATCAAAATAAACTTAATGAAGAATTAAATAATGAGTTTAGTTAATGAATTAATTTAATAATTTTAAAAATATATTATAAAATTATTTATCAAACTTTTTATAAAGTACATTTTCTTTTATTAATTTATTTAACTTCTTTATTTAGCATTAAAATTCTTTTACAATAAAACTTAAAGATTAAGGTTTTTGAACTTAATTTATAGAAAATTAAGTAATCTTAATAAATTTTATATTTCTATTAATTTATCTTTAAATTTTTTTTCATTTAGATTTTAAATGTATATAAAAATATATAAGAAAAAATGCTTACCGATAATTCAAAAATGTTAAATCTAAGAAATAAAGAAAATTGTTCAGTGTACAGATTTATTGATATTGTCAATCTTAATCTATTTTTAATGGGATTTCGAATAATCATTGGATTTTATTAAATATACGAGAGAATTTCTATCTGAAGATTTAATTCCAGAAAGTAGAAGATTAATCGCAGAAAAATTGTTGAAATAAGAAGAAGAAGCCAAAATAATGAAGAATGTATGAAAAAAATTTGAATCGTTAATAATATAATAAATAACTATCAATATAAAATTCATTCAATAGTAATTCCTTTTTGGAAGATAGAATTTTATATATTGTAATTTTATAAATGGATAAAAATTTATATTTTGTGATGTAAAGTAAAAAATTGTGAATAAAATAAAAATGAGAAAGTCTTAAAAAACATATGTTCCTAATGTAGATACTCATTTATGATTATGGGTAGGTGGAATATAATAGTTTTAAAGTTCAAGTTAAAATTAACAGGAATATTAAGTTTTCTTGCATTAGAAACAAAAAAAATAAGGACAATTATTTTGGACAATAATAATAATAATAATATATTTATCAGTCATTACTCCATAAACTCGCCTTCATACATATCTAAAATTTCTTATATTTTCTGTTCTATTTCCTTTCTTATTTTAATATTGGCTTTTTCTTTCAGTGCCTCGATTATAATATTTAATTTGTTATTCTCATGTGCTTATGTTAAATGTTATATTCCACACCTTTGATTAGTGTGTACTTTACATCTTTTAAGATTAAGCAAAAATAATCTCCTGATATTTTTAGGAAGATTCATAATTCCAATTTTGGACAATCAATCTTAAAATTAAGATAATACTGAAAAGTGTAATTCAATTGAATAATTAAATATATACATATTATTTATTTGAAAAATGATTAAAGATTTGTATTCTATTAATTGAACATTTAATGAGAAGTAAGGATAAATTGATGATTAGATAGTGAGATAAGAATGATAAAATGAATGGAGATAATGTTTAATAAGTTAAATAACATAAATAAAACAAGGGAGAATTAAAAGCGATGAATTGTATATGTGAATACAGTAAATAATTGAAAGGTGTTTATAATTAATAATAATGAAGTAAGGTTCTAAGATGAGTTAAGTAGGTAGCCCTAACAACAAACTTATTGATACTTTGTTATTAAAATAAAAGAGTCCTTCATAGTATGTAATATAGAGTCCATGTGTATCACCTAAATTAATGGATATGGGGAAAGGTGTATAACATAGTAAAAACACCTCAATAGATTTATCAAAATTGACAAGTCTAATGAAATAATAGAAAGTGAAATAAGTAGATGAGGGATAGATGAGTTAGCTTATTGCAAAAGCTAGAGCAATAGCTATTTCTGCTAAGACACCATAAGGACCTATTCATATGAGAAATGACTCAGCTTAAGTTAGAAAGGAAAATAAGGATCGAGAAGTTATTAGTCCAAAGATATCAGAGGTAAAATAGATAGTTAAGGGAACATTTACTTTTGAATATGTAATTGGTATTGGAGGATTTGGAAAGGTGTGGAAAGTCAAAAGAGTTGCTTAATAATATGCAATGAAAGAGATGTCAAAAGCATTAGTAATAACTAAGAAGAGTGTACATTCAGTAATGAATGAACGTATGTTGCTAAGTTAACTTAAACACACATTTTTGATTAATATGTATTATGCATTTTAGGATCGTGAAAACTTATACTTAGTAATGGATTACATGTGTGGCGGCGATTTACGATTTCATATAGGAAGAATGAGACGATTTAATGAGGAACAGACTAGTAATAGTATTCGATGATAATAAGAGTTTTTTGTGGCCTCTATTTTTATAGGGTTAGACTATTTACATACTAACAACATCATACACAGAGACATAAAACCAGAGAATTTGGTACTTGATGAGAAGGGTTTTGTACACATTACTGATTTAGGAATTGCTCGTATAATGAAACCTGAAAATTCAAATGATACAAGTGGTACTCCTGGATATATGGGTAAACAAATTAATTTAGTAAGTTAACTAGCTCCTGAGGTGATGTGTAGACAGAATCATACATTTGCAGTTGATTATTATGCTTTAGGAGTAATTGCATATGAATTTATGTTAGGGAGAGTATTATATAATATAAAATTAAATAGAGACCTTATGTTGGTAGATCTAGATAAGAGATACGTGATCAAATACTTGCAAGATAAGTATAAATTAGGGCAAGTGAAATACCAGCTAATTGGAGTGTTGAGGCTATAGATTTTGTAAATCGTTTGTTATAACGGAAACCAGCGAGTAGGCTTGGATTCAATGGAAGTTATGAAATAAAATTGCATCCTTGGTTTAAGAATTTCCCATGGTCTAAATTACAAAATAGAGAATTGTCAGCACCATTTATTCCAAATCCAAGTGATGATAATTTTGATTAGCGTTAAATAGTTATAGAGGATGAAGAGAATAGTGAATTGATTACTTAGAATATGTAATTGCTAAGAGATCCAAATGTTTAACAATAGTTTATTGGTTATGAATATCAAACAAATAATCAAAATGAGAAAGTCTTTGTCTTTGATTAATTAAAATAATGAAATTATCACTAACATTATTTACACTTCTAATATCTATATATTGTGCTGTACATAGAGAATATTATGATATTCTTGGAGTATCTCCTAATGCTTCTGTTTAAGACATAAAAAAGGCCTATCGTAAATTATCATAACAATACCATCCTGATAGAAATTAAGGTGATCCAGATGCAAATGAAAAATTCTCGAAAATCAACGTGGGTTTATGAAATAATTAAATTTTAGCATATGAGGTACTCTCTGATCCAGAATAAAGAAAAAAATATGATAAAGGTGGAGTTGATGGTCTAAATAGTTAAGGAATGTAACATCATGATCCATTTGATATATTTGGATCATTTTTTGGAAGAGAATAATAGGGAGAACGTAAAGGACCTGAATTGAAAGTTAAAGTGAGAGTCACTTTAGAAGACATTTATAATGGCAAAGAGATACCTATATATTTAACTAAATAAATATTATGTCCTCATTGTAGAGGATCTGGAGCTGATGATCCTGATCTTGTAGAAACTTGTCCTACTTGTAAAGGTGTTGGAAGTGTTTAAAAAAGATAATAAGTTGGTTTTGGATGTATTGTTCTATTTATTGATAATTTAGTTTTTTAAACATTTTAGGCCACGTGTGAAAGATGCTTTGGTACAGGCAAGATTATTAAAAAGAAATGTCATCTTTGTAAAGGAGATAGAGTAATTTAATATTATTCATCCCTAGATTATTCCTGGAGCTGATAATATTAGTTTATATATAGAAAAGGGAATTCAGGATAAATAAACTATTGTAATCATTAATTAATATTATAGAAATATGAAAATATGGCTGATGAACGTAATGATTCAGGTACTTCTGATTTAGTATTTTAAATTGAATAAATCCCTCATGCATTCTTTTAAAGATAGGGAAATCATTTATATTGCAAAGTCGAAATCTCATTAAAAGAAGCTCTTCTTGGGTTCAAAAAGAAAATCAAACATCTTGATAATCATTTTGTGAAAATTGACAAAGAGGGAATTACAAAACCTGGAGAGGTATAGATTATTAAAGGTGAAGGAATGCCACAACATGAGTTTTCATCACAACATGGAGATTTATATGTAGAATATAAAGTTGTTATTCCTAATTTTAATGGAGAATAACTTAGATGTAAATATATTATATTAACTAATAGAATGGTAATAATTCTTTTCATGAATATAATATTAATGTATATTTACATGTTTTGTGTTTATATGTGTATTTTAAGTATGAGTTTCTAAAAAATTAAATTTAATGTATTAGATTGTAATCGAAAGGGAACCCGAAAGTGTGAATTTATAAGAAATACCTAAACTGTATGTGAATTCAATAGCTTTGTAATTTAAGGATGAATAGATGACAGAGTTTAAAGTCATTGAATTTGCCTTGATAATACTCTCAATGCTAATTAGCTTGATTTGTGGTGCACGTTACTTGATGTGAGCATGAAATTCCTTAATGTTAGTGTGTCGATGACTTACATGTGTTAGACAACAATCAGTATTTAGGCACTCCTATCATTGATGTTAATGATTTTGCCTTCAATAACTCTATGTTCTAAGACTTTCAAGATGAGTTTGCATATGTAACGAATAGTGTAGTTACTCTATTTATCCTTATTAATTCTGGGTTCGGTAGTATTTTTTTTTTTGGAAATGAAGCATACTAAGAGTGTAGATAGAAGGGAAAAGTGATAGTATAGTAAGTTGGACCATTGCAATTTTTAATAGAAATAATTTGTTGTTTGATAAATTTGATATATGTGAGTTACTTACATTATGTAACAGTGAAATATAATAATAAAGAGTAGCCAATTCGAATGCAAATAGTTTAGAAGATAATGAACATAATAGTGCCAATAATTTGATATTATATTATATTTTATAAATATGGGATGCGTAATTACATCTGAGAAAGTCAGTCAATAGAAAACTATGATGTTGGAATCAACATATAAAAAAGAATAACGGGAGAAAGATTAAAGAATAAAAGCACATGCTATTTTAGACGAGTATCGTCAAACTAAAACAATCAGGAAGTAAATCAAATTGCAATAAGACGTCAAAGATGCTCTCTTAGAATAAATCGTTAGAAATAAAACAGTTACTCCTCAAAAGTCCTCGATAGCCAATTGAATTATATATATATATATATATATATGTTTTCATTCATTTAATTAAATAACCCCTTACTGTTTCATACCAATAATGAGTTAGACTTTCTAATTTACTTTGTACGCAATCCTTTATTTATCTAAATAGTGTTTTTTAATCATCCATATCCAAAACAATCTAATATTTACGAATCCTATGTTACAAAACCTCTTTTATTGTCATTCTTTAATCCTACTCTGTCAAACACTTATTAATGAAATCATTAACTACTACATCATCTTCTTCTTAAGTGTCTCTTCTCTTATTTTCCCTTTATTTATGCACAATACACTTACAATAGACACTCTAATGATTCAAAAGGATGAATTTTGTAAAATAATTAATGCAAAATTATACCCAATGCCCAAACATCTTATTTATCATTATACATTGTTCTTTTATTACTTTTATGGACTTCTGGTGCCATCGTCTCTGGAGTTCCACATTTTACTGAATCAGTTCCCAATCCATTGTCTTTCAAATTTTTAGCAAATCCAAAATCGATTATTTTTATCTATCCACATCTTCATTATCATTACCTATCTTTTTTTCAATAATATATTGTCTAATTTTAAATCTCTATGAATTATTTTATGTTTCTCCAATTCTTCCACACCATCTAAAATTTATTAAAAATATTATAATGCTTCACTCCTATTAAATTCTTAATATCGTTTGCTTAAAGACTCTCAAATTTAATTTAAACAATTATTTACCATCACATAATTCCATTATTATATAATGTTTATCATCAATCTTTATATCATCATAAATCTTTGCAATATTCTTTGATTTTAAACTTTTTTACAATTCTATTTCTTAACTTACACGATCATTCCCTTCCATTATTCTTATTGCTACCTTCTTATACTTATTAGAACTCTAAATTATTAGATCTCTTTCATACTTTCCACCCTCCATATACTTAACAATAAGAACCCTTTCCTAATAAATTATCAGAATTATAGCAGTATTCTCCTATTGTTATTATTGAATTTGAGTCTTAGATTTCTCTTTTTTATTTAAAACATCGTTCAAGATCATTCCTTCTAGTTTCCATTCTAAATTTCTCTCTCTTCTTTTACATCTACTTCAAAATATTAATTTATAAATTAAATATTAATTTAAGTCATATATTGTAAAAAATAATGTTTCCTATCTTTAAATCCTATTTGTCTATAAGACAATTTTTTTTACATTCTTAATTCCATTATCACTACTGTGTTTTAACACATTTATCATATATATTACATAAAAATATGATGAATTATTAGGAATTATGATCAATTATCTTTAAATTTAATACCAACCTAAATAAATAAATTTAAATGGATTTAGAAGACAACGACTTCTTGGCAGATGGTGACAATCGTAATGTAAGATCTAAGACTAGGAACAATAATAATAAGAGAAACAATAAGGTAGAAACATTATATAGAGATTAATAAAAATAAAAGAGACAGGAATAATAACATAATGATGAAAAATGGTCAGATGAAGAAGATAAGAAATTGAATGCCAAGAGGTTGTAATAGTAAGAAAAGAAATTAAAGCATGTTTAAAAACAATTAGATTACAAGAAAGATGAAGAAGAAATGTAACCAAAACCAAAAGGCAAAGAAAAAAGATAGGCTCATGTACACGATCTATGATTATTATTTTAATGATATCAATTCCTTAATTTACTTTACAATCCCTTAAACTGCCAGACCATATTCCATTTACTCTATCAATTACTATGGAATCAAATTCTTAAACATGTCTTTAATTTTTATTGATTCAGATTTTAGTAAATAATATAGAATCTGTAGCATATTTTTTACGTTTCAAATGACTTAATTCTTTCTCAATCAATAGTTCTAATGGTTATTTCCTAAATAAAACATTAAGTCCAAATTTCTTTGCTTTTACTTTCACCAATTTTGGGTNCTTCACTCCTATTAAATTCTTAATATCGTTTGCTTAAAGACTCTCAAATTTAATTTAAACAATTATTTACCATCACATAATTCCATTATTATATAATGTTTATCATCAATCTTTATATCATCATAAATCTTTGCAATATTCTTTGATTTTAAACTTTTTTACAATTCTATTTCTTAACTTACACGATCATTCCCTTCCATTATTCTTATTGCTACCTTCTTATACTTATTAGAACTCTAAATTATTAGATCTCTTTCATACTTTCCACCCTCCATATACTTAACAATAAGAACCCTTTCCTAATAAATTATCAGAATTATAGCAGTATTCTCCTATTGTTATTATTGAATTTGAGTCTTAGATTTCTCTTTTTTATTTAAAACATCGTTCAAGATCATTCCTTCTAGTTTCCATTCTAAATTTCTCTCTCTTCTTTTACATCTACTTCAAAATATTAATTTATAAATTAAATATTAATTTAAGTCATATATTGTAAAAAATAATGTTTCCTATCTTTAAATCCTATTTGTCTATAAGACAATTTTTTTTACATTCTTAATTCCATTATCACTACTGTGTTTTAACACATTTATCATATATATTACATAAAAATATGATGAATTATTAGGAATTATGATCAATTATCTTTAAATTTAATACCAACCTAAATAAATAAATTTAAATGGATTTAGAAGACAACGACTTCTTGGCAGATGGTGACAATCGTAATGTAAGATCTAAGACTAGGAACAATAATAATAAGAGAAACAATAAGGTAGAAACATTATATAGAGATTAATAAAAATAAAAGAGACAGGAATAATAACATAATGATGAAAAATGGTCAGATGAAGAAGATAAGAAATTGAATGCCAAGAGGTTGTAATAGTAAGAAAAGAAATTAAAGCATGTTTAAAAACAATTAGATTACAAGAAAGATGAAGAAGAAATGTAACCAAAACCAAAAGGCAAAGAAAAAAGATAGGCTCATGTACACGATCTATGATTATTATTTTAATGATATCAATTCCTTAATTTACTTTACAATCCCTTAAACTGCCAGACCATATTCCATTTACTCTATCAATTACTATGGAATCAAATTCTTAAACATGTCTTTAATTTTTATTGATTCAGATTTTAGTAAATAATATAGAATCTGTAGCATATTTTTTACGTTTCAAATGACTTAATTCTTTCTCAATCAATAGTTCTAATGGTTATTTCCTAAATAAAACATTAAGTCCAAATTTCTTTGCTTTTACTTTCACCAATTTTGGGTACATTAGAACTGTATTATTTTTAGAATATTAGGATATCAAACTAAAATGTCAATATTTAAAGAAATTCTTTAACTTTAATCAAGTTCTATTAATTTTAATAATCTAACATAAATATTAATATCTCTATTTTCTTATAATTTTTATTTACACCTATCAAAACAAGTAAGCAAGGAACAAAGAAAAAACTAATAGCTCCTTTTTCTATTGAAATGAGATCTCTTATTCATTTGATAACTTAAATAAACAATAAAAGAGCATCTTTATAAAGACATAAATTCTTTTATTTATCATGATTGAGTTTGATAAGATTATTCTTAGAATATCTATTATCATAAGTCCTTGAGTTGGTTAATCCTTATTTAATAATGTTAAGGTTTTTGGTATAATAGCAAAATCATCTAATTGAGGTTGTAGATGAAGTTCAGTACAGAGATTCCTAAATATTTTGATATTTTTTATTAGTGATTATTTTTAATTCTAATTAAGGAAAGTGGCTTATCTGATAATGACTTACTTTTCACAAAGTGTTTATTTAACTATTCTATCAATCAAATCTAGCTAAAAGTATTAAAATATTCTTCAAAGATTTAATCATTAATTAAAGATCTATATTTTGAATCTGTTCAGTTCTTCCAACGAGCTGATAATGATGAGTTTACTAGTTACAATAGTAGTCTACTTAAGCTTCATTAATTTATAGTATTAAGATCTTAAAGTATAATGATAATATCTAATTCTAAATTAAGGTAATCAATATTATCTTTGAGATCTGATGTGTCAATTAATTCTAAGAGATAATATAATTAGTATTCTTCTTTGAAATAATTTAATTATCACAAAAATAATATAAGGAGGTTGATCAATTTCCAGACTTTTCAATCTCTTTAGGTTCCATCCAACATGGACTACAAAATATATTAATATTTTATGTTTTATCTTTAAAATAATGTTGTTACTACTCCAAAGTCATCCAATTTTCCAATACCTTATTAAATCTTACAATTATTATTAGCTATATTTAAATGTCAAAACATTTGCACCCTTTCTATCTCTATGCATAATTCTTTATTAATGTAAATATTCCATTCTTTTCAATACTTATTTTATACATATATAACAACCATGACTCTGCAAATATATGCTTCTCTAAGTATTCTAGAATAATATTTAGAAATCAATCTGTCTCTATACAATCTATGTACTTCAAAATTTTTTAAGTTTCAACTCTTCAATAGATAGGTTTCCTATTGTTATGCTTTATACTGATCTTCTTTTAATCTAGCTCTAGACGATTGCTTTATTGCCATAAGTTTTCCCTCTATTATTATGTGTGTTTTTATGAATTCCAAATTCAATCATTTGTAAACAGTATCAATCTAAATTCTTCCTAACAATTCTCCTAGCTTAGTAATTACTAATCTTCTTCATCTATNTAAATTCTTTTATTTATCATGATTGAGTTTGATAAGATTATTCTTAGAATATCTATTATCATAAGTCCTTGAGTTGGTTAATCCTTATTTAATAATGTTAAGGTTTTTGGTATAATAGCAAAATCATCTAATTGAGGTTGTAGATGAAGTTCAGTACAGAGATTCCTAAATATTTTGATATTTTTTATTAGTGATTATTTTTAATTCTAATTAAGGAAAGTGGCTTATCTGATAATGACTTACTTTTCACAAAGTGTTTATTTAACTATTCTATCAATCAAATCTAGCTAAAAGTATTAAAATATTCTTCAAAGATTTAATCATTAATTAAAGATCTATATTTTGAATCTGTTCAGTTCTTCCAACGAGCTGATAATGATGAGTTTACTAGTTACAATAGTAGTCTACTTAAGCTTCATTAATTTATAGTATTAAGATCTTAAAGTATAATGATAATATCTAATTCTAAATTAAGGTAATCAATATTATCTTTGAGATCTGATGTGTCAATTAATTCTAAGAGATAATATAATTAGTATTCTTCTTTGAAATAATTTAATTATCACAAAAATAATATAAGGAGGTTGATCAATTTCCAGACTTTTCAATCTCTTTAGGTTCCATCCAACATGGACTACAAAATATATTAATATTTTATGTTTTATCTTTAAAATAATGTTGTTACTACTCCAAAGTCATCCAATTTTCCAATACCTTATTAAATCTTACAATTATTATTAGCTATATTTAAATGTCAAAACATTTGCACCCTTTCTATCTCTATGCATAATTCTTTATTAATGTAAATATTCCATTCTTTTCAATACTTATTTTATACATATATAACAACCATGACTCTGCAAATATATGCTTCTCTAAGTATTCTAGAATAATATTTAGAAATCAATCTGTCTCTATACAATCTATGTACTTCAAAATTTTTTAAGTTTCAACTCTTCAATAGATAGGTTTCCTATTGTTATGCTTTATACTGATCTTCTTTTAATCTAGCTCTAGACGATTGCTTTATTGCCATAAGTTTTCCCTCTATTATTATGTGTGTTTTTATGAATTCCAAATTCAATCATTTGTAAACAGTATCAATCTAAATTCTTCCTAACAATTCTCCTAGCTTAGTAATTACTAATCTTCTTCATCTATCAAGACAATTGAGACATTTAATATAATTTATTATATATATAGTAGTAATTGTAAAGAAGCGTGCAGATACAAGATGCATCTAAGCTATCTTGTATTGAATAATGCCATTATTTTAATGTGGCAAAAGTAAAAAGGGACACAAATATTGTAGATTGTGTGTCCAGAGTGTTATTTGCCATAAATTAATTAAATTAATGAATTTAATATCTAACGAGCGTCTGGCTATAGAGCAGTTAAGGGAGGTAAGTGAATTGGAGCCAACTCTTTTGAATTGGGGGAAAGAAATACTTGAGTTAAATAAGAATAGGAATAAAAACCGAAAATCAACAACAAGAGATGGTGAACGTAGATAACGGTTGCCTTCATTGAATAAAGTTCCTTTAAAAATGGCTCTACAAGAAATCTCTCTTAATGAGGAACACTTAGTTCCTAATTATTCTTAATTACCCCCCTTCATAAAAACAATAAAGCCTCATACAGCGAAACCTAACTATAATGGAATAGTTCTTGGTGTAAATTTTGCTCATTTTGAAAGGCGTGTTTTAAGAAAAATGAACTAAATATGAATTATATACTAAATTATTTATTTATAAATGCGCAACATATTTTAAAAAATTAAACATAAAAATGTAGCCACAATAATTCTTGGATTTGGTTCAATGTGCATTTTTTGAAAGTAATGCACAAAGAAGTTCAGCAGAATAAGTTCTTTTGAAGTATAAAGATGAATGTCCTGATGAGTTCATGATGTTTTGTGCTTAAGCATTTTCAAATCGCGGGATTTAGAATAGGATAAGAGTTGCTTGTAGTACTTTAGTAAAACGACTTGTGGGATTGATTGTATTAATTTTATTAATGGTAGCATCCTCTATCTAATTAACTAATTTGGTTGGCATGTTCTTAAAAAACAAAGAATGATGTCAAATTAAAGTTCATGGAATAATTGATTGATCCTGAAAATGAAATTAGAAGATCAGCAGCAAATGTGAATAATTTAAACTATTAAATAGACAATAAGTGAAATATGCGCAATTGAATTACCAAGATAAGAATGGCCGGATCTAATTTCCAGACTTACAACAAATTCTAAACATACAGATATTTTAATAAAAGTGTCAGCCATTATGACATTAGGTTATATTTGTGAAGCATTAGTATGAATTCTATTAATTTAGAAAACTCATTAATCTTCAGGTATCTCTGAATAAGATTCAAAAGTGATTCTGATGGGAATTTGTGTAGGAATGGATTTAAATGAATCTACTTTAGAAATTAGATTGACAGCAATTAAAGCTTTATAGGATTCTTTATATTTTATGAACAACTTGTTTAAATAATAAGTATTTTTAATATTTTAAATATAGGAAATTTTTACATATGTAAAAAATCTGATATTATCAAATGCAGTATGTAACATTTAGGAAGTTAAACATAAAGCACTTCAATGTTTAATTGATTTTGTGAAACAACTATTTACATTTTTACCTGCATTTATAAATGAATTATATTAAGCTACTTAAACTTCATTTGAAAATTAAGGTGAGTTATCAATAGCAGCTATTGAAATATGGAATACTATTTGTGCAGAAATGAAAGAAGAAAGAATGTAAAATGGTAATTAATAGACACCAGGAAGTAATGCAGCAGATTGTTGTGAGTAATTTTTTAAGAAGAATTATGAAGGATTTCTACTTCCATTTATGAGAAATCTTTTATTAGATAGTGGAGATGTAGATGATGAATATTAAGGTTTATCAGTACCTGATTCAAGTTGTAAAGGTTTAGCATTTATTATTGAATTTGCTGGAGTTAATACTTATGAATTAGTTAAGAATTTTATTTAAAATACTATTACACATTAATAATGGGAATATAGAAAGGCTAGTGTGATGGCTTTTGGAGCATTAGCTGAAGTCTATACTGAAGAGATAGAATTATTAATCAAATCTGCATTGAGTAGTCTCTTTACTTGTTTAATTGATTAACATTTTAAAGTTAAGAAGGCTACTGCTTAAACTTTAAGTAGAGTAGCTGAAAATTATCCATAATGTTTTCATGAACATGATTAAGCTAATCATATGTTAGCTACTTTATTAGATTAATTAAATAATAAAATTTCTATTGTTTAACATTTAATTTGGGTCTTTGTTTATCTCACTGAATAATTATAAAAATTTCCAAACAGCATATTTACTAGAGAGAAATTTACTATTTTGTAACATTTAGCTAGCACTTCTGTAAGAGCAGATATCAAGAATTCAGAAATTGCATTAATTGATACAGCTTTCATGGCTATTCTAAATATTATTTATAGTGTTACGGATACAAAATTATGTAATGACTATTTACTTTAATTCTTTTAATAAATCTAATTATTAGAGGGAGGAGGTACTTAAGTACCAGCTGAAATTAAATATCATTTAGAAATGGGTTTGATGAGTGCTATGCATGGTTGTGTTGTAAGATTAGATGATTCAACAACTCCTGAATCTGTGTTTGAATCAATAATGAAAACTTTATCAAATGTTGATTCTAGAGTTAAAAATGATTACTTTTATGTACTTTCTGGAATAGCATATGCTTTTAAAAAGAAATTATCAAAATATTCTTCTTAATTGATAGCAGAATTAAATAAACCACTTTCAGAACCAGATGATATGGAAAGTTTTAAGACAGCATTATTTTGTTTAGCAGACATTGCAAGAGCTATGGAAGAAGAATTTGTACCTTATATGAATATTTTAAATTATTTCTTTGGTCTAATTAAAGTAATATATATAATATATTTAGAATCCTAATTTCAATAGAGAATTAAAATTATAAGTCTATAATGCAATTGCAGATATAATTTTAGGATTGAAAGAGAAATCTTTCTAATTTTTGGGAGATTTAAAAGAGATTCTTAAATTAGGATTTGCTGCTAGTATGGATTTAACAAAAAGTTAATAAAATGTTGATTAAGATTATGCAGAAAGATTGAAAGAAACAATGACTTCATTTTATACTTGTATTTTACATGCATATTGTGAACCTAATGTTCCTAATTTTGAATTAAGAGATACAGTAGAATGGTTTATAATATTTTGTACAGAGATGTGTAGTTTAAAATTAAAACCTACAATTGTAATGAATATAAAATTATAAGTTAGGAATATGTTCGATTGACTTTGTGTTGTGTATTTGATTGCTCACATTTCTTCTAGACAGTTTCAGAAATGAAGATGAAACTTAAAGATTTTATTACAAGTGATTTTGTGATTGAATTAATTAGAAAGATGAGTTAATTCAAAGATAAAGATTATTAAGAGTGTGTGTCATTTGCCAAATAGTTACTAAATGACGTTTATGGATTTTAATTGAAATTGTATTGAATTTAAATTAATTATAATTATTAATAATGGGTAATGTTTGTGAACCAAGAGATGATTTTGAAAGAAATGATAGAACAATATAATTATAAAGACGTCTAGAACCTAGAATGTCTTTATCAACACCTTATTTTGCAAAACTAAAATAAATTGAATCAACTCAAAATTGTTTATCTCAAACAGCTCACGAAAAACAAATTCTTAATCTAGTTGATATTCGTTAATAAATTGTGTAAGAAATGTTAAATCATGTTGCTAATTGTAGTCATTAAGAATTAGTTTCAGCATAAGTTATGAATGAAACTCATAATTTCTCATCTTTCAATTGGATTAATGATTCAAATAGTCATTATGAGAGTTGGAATCCATAAGATTGTCACACACTCTAAGAAACTAATTGTGAAAAAGGTATGCATTTAAATGAATGTATGCGTTTATGCTGTCTAAATATGGAAGCATTTAAATATACAGAATAAGGCAGTGATTATATTTATGTTGCTTTTATTATGAAATATTGATTATAAAATCATTATTATTTCTTTGAATTTGGAAAATACCATTCCTTACCAGGTGTATATCCCAATGTGGAATATAATTCTTTACGTGTTTGCATGCTAAATTATATTTTAATTAATTCTTTACTTTTAAACTGAATTTACTTAAGATTCATCCTTCTTTAATTATTTCAAGAATTCATCAATCGCTTTACTAGCAATTCTTAATGTTGATACAGGATAGATAACACAATTGTAACCCATTTATTGAAATTCTTTTAATGAAATATATGGAGTTTTTCCAAACTCTGTCATGTTTGCCAACAAATAAATGTTAGGATTTTTGGATTTCAATTCTTTAGCTACAACAGCCATTTCTTCTTTAGTATGTAATCCTTCAGGGAATATCATATCAGCTCCAGCATCGATATATGCTTTGCTTCTTTTGATACATTCATCTAATCCATGTGTTCCTCTAGCATCAGTACGTGCTGGAAATGAATAAATATGATAGATTACCACAAATAACAAAGTCTCCTCCACTACATTAAATACTAGCATTTTTGGCTATTTATATCTTCTTCTCCATGACATCAGATGGTATCAATTCTTTTCCATCTAAATGTCCACAACGTTTTGGGAATACTTAATCTTCAATATGTAGACCTGATGCTCCATGAATAAAATATTCCCAAACAGTTTTTGAGCACATCTCTCCTTCTCCAAATCCTGTATCAGCATCTGCTAAAATAGGTAATCCTGAAGCAAGTGCAACATCCTTTATTGTCTTACAGAACCCATCCAATGTTACCATACTTAATAACTTATCTCTAAATTATACCCAATATCTGGCACTCCACTTGATGCAGTGACAGCAGCACCTGATATATATAGAGCCTCAAAACCATTATCTGCACATTGTCTACTTACCATACCATTATATGCTCCTGGCATCATTAAACATTTCTAAGCTAAAAGCTTTCTAAACAATGAGCAATTTTATTTAAATAACATAATAATTTATACATTATCATTACAATACTTATAAATTCTAAAATACAATCTATTATCATTATAAAATTCAATTATTTTCCTTTTCTTAAATACCCATTAATACAAAATCTAAATAAACGCTCATTTAATTCATTTTATCATATTCTTTTAATCTCATCCTTTTTTATTTGTTTATCATATTTAAAACTCAATCAACTAAAAATAGATTAATCATTATTCAAAGAAAAAGCTGATTTTCATTCAATATTTTAATAATTTACAATTATTTATTCTTTAACCAAACAATCGTTAATTATTTTTTCTCTCAATTCTTTCTACAAATTGCTTTCTATCTTTCTTTATGAATATATCATTATTCACTTATATATTTTACTATTCTATAACATATTTCACTCATTTATACTTTGCAAATATTTTAATTAACTCTAACACTCTTTTCTATAACCTATAAAATAGGATATCTAATATAATTTTCTAATAAGCTATTTTTATACAAGAACTCTCTTATTTTATAAATTATATAGCAATCATTCAGAAATCATTTTTATAATTTTTTCTCAAATATTTTCTAATTTATTAGGTTCATATATAATTAATTCAAAGATGCATCATCTAAGTAACTTTAATAATTAATTTATTTTTATGGGATGTTCAGAATCTACAGATTATAAGTCTTCGCTATAATTGAGCCAAGACTCAACACTAGATACATATAGAATATCTCAAATAAAACCGAAACCATAACAAAATTATCTAGATTCAGAAGACTTTGAGGATTTTGACACATCTGAATTGAGCATTGAATAAACATGCTTTCATCTCTATGATAATCTTCTCAAAAAAGTTGTAACTGTCCCAAAATTGAAATCAGTCACTTATTCAACCATTCTCAAAAGAAGAAACCTTAAAACATGATATTCTTTCTCAATTTTTTTCTTATATATTTAATATTTATAANCCATACTTAATAACTTATCTCTAAATTATACCCAATATCTGGCACTCCACTTGATGCAGTGACAGCAGCACCTGATATATATAGAGCCTCAAAACCATTATCTGCACATTGTCTACTTACCATACCATTATATGCTCCTGGCATCATTAAACATTTCTAAGCTAAAAGCTTTCTAAACAATGAGCAATTTTATTTAAATAACATAATAATTTATACATTATCATTACAATACTTATAAATTCTAAAATACAATCTATTATCATTATAAAATTCAATTATTTTCCTTTTCTTAAATACCCATTAATACAAAATCTAAATAAACGCTCATTTAATTCATTTTATCATATTCTTTTAATCTCATCCTTTTTTATTTGTTTATCATATTTAAAACTCAATCAACTAAAAATAGATTAATCATTATTCAAAGAAAAAGCTGATTTTCATTCAATATTTTAATAATTTACAATTATTTATTCTTTAACCAAACAATCGTTAATTATTTTTTCTCTCAATTCTTTCTACAAATTGCTTTCTATCTTTCTTTATGAATATATCATTATTCACTTATATATTTTACTATTCTATAACATATTTCACTCATTTATACTTTGCAAATATTTTAATTAACTCTAACACTCTTTTCTATAACCTATAAAATAGGATATCTAATATAATTTTCTAATAAGCTATTTTTATACAAGAACTCTCTTATTTTATAAATTATATAGCAATCATTCAGAAATCATTTTTATAATTTTTTCTCAAATATTTTCTAATTTATTAGGTTCATATATAATTAATTCAAAGATGCATCATCTAAGTAACTTTAATAATTAATTTATTTTTATGGGATGTTCAGAATCTACAGATTATAAGTCTTCGCTATAATTGAGCCAAGACTCAACACTAGATACATATAGAATATCTCAAATAAAACCGAAACCATAACAAAATTATCTAGATTCAGAAGACTTTGAGGATTTTGACACATCTGAATTGAGCATTGAATAAACATGCTTTCATCTCTATGATAATCTTCTCAAAAAAGTTGTAACTGTCCCAAAATTGAAATCAGTCACTTATTCAACCATTCTCAAAAGAAGAAACCTTAAAACATGATATTCTTTCTCAATTTTTTTCTTATATATTTAATATTTATAACCTAATCAAAATCCACTTTTATATCGTTAGAAATGACTTTTCATTAATGTTTCAATTTAGTTCATTTTTAACATCAATCATTAAAAACCAATTAAATACACAATAAATATTCGATATCTTATTTTAGTTTTAAAATTAATTAATAAAATTTTATATATAATTTAATACTCTTTTTCTTTTAGAAGTTAATAAGTTAAAACCATTTACTTTTATCTGGTTTGTACTTTTTATGATCTCCTAAAACTTTGTTTCTTTGTTATTCTAGATAATAGATAGATTTTACCCTATATAATAATCAGAATCAACATTATAAAAATATTTAGAATTTTATTATAAAAATATTAAGAATTTAAACTATAAAAAATATTTAGGATTTTGAGAATAATTAATTAAATAATTTATAGCATATTCTTTTTTCTTCTAAATTAAAAAGTAATAAATCAATATAATTTTGATTTCTTTGTCTAGAAATTGATATCAATAATTTATAAATGAACATTTTTGGTTTATATTATAAAATAGATTTCAAGAAGATCTAAATGCCAATTAATAAAATATAATCATAATCCTTTTCTTGAATTCTAAAAAAACACAAAAGTTTTAGTTTTTAGATTAAATTTGTAAGGATGGACCAAAATTATCATTTCGAAAAGAGGGAGAAACAATTTTATATCAATTTTTCTAATGATTATTCATATTTATTAAAATGAATATGGCGAGAAAATAAAAGATAATTTATTAAATTGCAATCAGTTATGATCAAATTTTTAGTAAAATTTAAACGAAATAATTTATTGAGGGTATAGAATTCGATAATAGATTAAGGGTACGATAATTAATTATCTTGTTAATCTTACAATAAATTTTCTTACCAATTAATTGTAAATTTTAAGAATTATTTATCTCTTAATGATGACCACAAATATGTAAAAAGAAAGTAATTAAAGTGAAACATATTATAAATCATTTTTTTTTGTTGTTACAGAATGTTGGGTTAACCCATTTTAAGTTAGGCCTTGACATAATGAGTTGTTTAGTTTATTTAGATATTGTAAGGGCTGGTTCATCTCTGCAAAATTGGCATAGGACAATATCTAGATTGAATCTCACTTTTTTATTGGACTTAGTTTTATGAGTTGGTTTGAATATAATGAATTAGGATGTTGATAATTAGTCTTTTTACAAGGTCTAAGAATAGTAATCATCTAAACATTCTAGATCATCATTAGTCTGATTCTAATATTCTGTAATAGGAATCTAAAATATAGATTTTGGACCAATCATTTGAAAATGATATATTTTTTTATGTTTCCAAATTTATTCTGAGCTCTATTTTAGATAATATAATGATATTTTGTATATATAGATAGGTTTTTGATATATATTTGAAATTAAAACACATATTAGAGTATTTAAATAATAATAGTTAAAATAAAATATAAAATGGGTAATTCTAATTAGAATAAGTAAATAATCTTACTGAGTGGAAAACTAAAAGAGATGAAATTGCTTGCAGAAAGGGGAGACTATATCATTTATGAACACATTGAGAAATAGAAATAATATGAATATTGGGTATGGAAATCAGAATAAAATAATTATGAAGAAGCTGAATTGACTGCTTAAGATTTTAGAGAATGTGATTCAATAACTAAAATTTCTTATCAATCTAGAGGTTGTATAACAGAAACATTTAAAAAAGAATATATATTTGCTATTTTAATGGAACATCCTACTTATGATTTATATGAATATCTAAAGAGAAAATAATAACTCAATAAAAAGTAGATAGTAAATATGGTTACAAATATCTTTGGTGCTTAAAGAGCATTAAAAAACAGCTGTTAATATTTAGGATTTCATAATATCTATACAATGGATGGTGAGAGTTGGATGTTGAAGCCTTTTTAAAAAGTAATTTCTTTTGTTACTAATTCAAACAAATTTGTAGGATATCCAGCTCCAGAAGAATTTAATTCAATTTAGTATAATGTTGAAAAAGCTACTGTTTTTAGTTTTGGAATGCTAATGTTACATTTGATTTTGAGTAAAACAAATAAGTTATAATTTTAGATAAAAGAATAGAGAATGTGTAAGAAGTTTATAAAGTTTATTAAAGTATTGATGTAGAAGTTTTAGATTAAAGAATTCAAGAATTATAATAAACCAAGGATTATGAATAGGATTTCATAAGAATAATTATTAGAATGATTGCTATAGATCCAAATTAGAGACCAGATTATAGTGAATTGGTAGATTAATTAACAAATAAAAACAATTGGTTGACAATTTAATAAAAATCTACTTTATCTTAAATATAATTTAAAAGTTAAAATAGTAAAAATAGTGGAATAATAAATGGATTAATATCTGTTCCTTTAGAAAAGGAGGAATATATGATAAAAATCTTGAATTCTAAAGAATTTATTTAGAATATAGATGAGGATGAGAAGGATTTATTAGGTATTATTTAAATATATTATTAAAGAATCCTCTTCAGAGAATTCTACTGAAAGGAATATAAATAAATATACTGTTATTAATTATGATTAATTCATAACTTTAGATAAAGCATTTGATTACAATGATTTAACAAATGTGATGGATTATACAACTAGATTTGAGGGAAATATTTAGAATTCAAAGTATTGATTTAATAATAAAGATAGAAAAAATGGTCCAGGGACTCTATATTTATCTAACAATGAAGTATTTTAAGGGAACTTTATAAATAACGTGATCGAAGGTAAAGGTTAATTCTTAACAATTGATAAACATATTGTAAGAGGTGTGTGGAAACAATATAAATTATCACAATAGAAATCAATTTAAAAATCGGAATAAATTTTTTCTTAGAAATCAATACAAAGTCCTGGATGTTAATTGAAATTTGGACTTAACAGAATTGGATCTAATTCTATACCTGAAGAAATAATTGATTAGAAATATAATTCAATTAGTGAATAAACAACTCTAACAAATGGTGTAAAAGAACAAACTATAGAAAAAGCATCAGTATAGAGTAAATAAATAGTTTATCATTCAACTTATGATTAAAATAATCGTTTATAAGGTGATAAATATATAGTAATAATATTAGGTTATGTATAAGATGAATAAGGAATGGTAATGTATGCAGGATTATTTCGTGGTGATTAATATGATGGATATGGTGTTTTGAAGAACTTTAATTATTAAAATATTAATATGATAAATCATTTGGATTTAAATAAATCATTAAGATAGAATGCGTGGATTAAATATGATGGTGAATTCAGAAACGGAAAGTAAATGATAATTATAATAATGTAGAAAACATGGAAAAGGCAAATTATATTTTAGTGATAAGAGTGTTTACTAAGGGTAATTTGAAGAGGATTAAATTTTTGGAGAGGGAGTATTTACAAATTCATAAAATTAAGTTATATAAGGTTATTGGATAGATGGATAATATTAAAATCCAATTAAATGATTAATTAATATACTTGAGTATTTGTAAATTAAATTATTTAAATATATTCATTAGGAATGATAGTGATAATTTAAACGTTAATTATGTTCTATTTAATGAGGAGATCTAGAGAAACTTTCTTCTTAAAGGATTTTATTGATAGGTTATTTATGAACGCTTTCAATTTGTTTAATTATTGTTTCTCCATATTCTTCCAATTATGCTTCTGCTTATCTTTAATTATTAGTTATATCCTTTAATGGAGATCTCTCTTTATGTTGTATTAAGACTTTGTTCATTTCACCTTCTAAGTTATTAAACTCTTGTTCATCAATTTTCACTTCATATTATATAAATAGATTTTTTAGATGTTAAATTAAATTTTCCATTCAATTAAATTATTATTGAAATTTTATTTAATATAAAAAATATAATAATTAATATAAAATATTTTAAATGAGCTTCAAAACAGGTGATGAAAGATATGATTTTTAAGTTAAATGTCCTTATAATCCATCACATTAAATGCCTAATTCTAAATTGTTCTATCACATATCTTAAGGATGTTAAGATAAAGCAAGATTAGAACATTTATATGAACATTGTCCATATAACTTTCTTCATGTTATTCTTAAAGCAAATATGGATAATCATCTTCGATAATGTTCAGATGCTAAATCTAATACTTAGGAAGGCAATTTAATGGCAGAAATGTAATAAGTAATTAAAGAATAACAAAAAGAATAAAGAAAAGCATAAAAATAATTAAAATAGCAATAATAATAATAATAATCTATTGTTTAAGTTCCAGGAGTTATTATAACTGAGTAACCAAAAAAAAAAAAGAGAGTTAGAAATAAAAAAAAAAAAGAAGAACCTTAAAATTAAAAATCAGAAATGCCAGTTTGGGGAGAGAGTTCAGATGAAGAAAAGAATGAAGTTCAAGAAGTTTGTGAATAATTTGCTTAATAATAAATTAATTAAGTGAAAAATAATGAAAGTGATGATGAATGGGATTATGTACCTCTAAAATAAAAAGGTAGAAATTTAAGAACAAAAGAAAAAGAGTGATAATATTTTCAATTAGTATTGAATTGATAATTTATTTAGAAATCCTAAACCATAAATTAAAGAATCTATCAGTATTCTTATAAGAGCATTTCAACTATTTCATCGTAAGACTTATTTATTCCCTTTTCGTTAACATATTTTACTAAATCTTCTCTTTTCTTCTAAGGGAATAAATTTTAAAGTTATTAAACTACTATATCTTATTATGGAGCTTTCACAGTTATCTCTATTGGATTCTCTATTTTCTACAATTATTATTTCTCATTATTGCAAATTACCTACATTTAATTTAATTTCATACATAAAATTTATATATTTTTTATTCTTGATTAGAAAAATGTTCAGGTACATATGGTAAATCAATAGTAACAGTTACACATTCACCCCTTGATACATTAGAAAGTTTTTGATAAATTTCTAATTCTCTATTTTCTAAAGATGCATTAATCCATTAACTCACTCCACTATTTAATATAGTCATTTAGGCTATTATCTTTCTTCCTGGAATTGCTGTAAAAATTGGAATCTTTGATGTTAAAGTAACTTTAAAATTTTCTTATGGATTCTTATTCATCAATTACAATTCTCTTAATCTTTAATCTACTATATCAGCTATCAATTATTTTAATTATTCATTTTATCTAAAATCTATTTAATTTGTATTCTATCCATTGTCAATTTAATTTACTTAAACTTATGTACTATAATATATATATTTTACAATACCTTTAATTTCCAGATTATGGACCTACTTATTACGATTAATCTATTTAGATTGGTTAAGATAATGTGCAAACATCTTTGCTTTATTTATTATCTAAACCAACCATGCTTTAATTTAAAACTCCCCATGAGTCTTTTAAAATTTATTTATAGTCTTATGTTTCTGTTACTAACAACTTTATTGTTGGCCATTAATTTTACTTATACTGTGCTATTAATTATTAGAAGTCATTATCATTTCTTATTTCTGCAACTGAGTCTGTCTCCTCTAATCTTATACATTTAAATCATTACCTGGATTGATTATTGCAAACAAATATATTGTGTTAAGCTACTTATATATTGATTTTATTGTCTCAATTAAACTCTTCAAATTTGTTACATTTGGAGGAATTTTGTGAACTTTTTTCTAAAAAACAAACTTTGTATTAGACATTTCTTTTATATATATTATTTTAAACCTAAATTTCCATATTATATGTTTATATATATCAAATATTTTATATGGATTGTTCATTAATATGATCAACTAGAAAAATAATTTTATTTAAATTTCTAAAACACTAATCTAAAACAGTACTTGAAATCCATAAAACAATTTTCTATCTGTTCATTATTATATTACTTTCTTAAAACTATTCTTTTTTTTAGATTAAGTAGCATGTATTCTTTAACTACCCAAAATTATAATTGCACATCTCATATTTAGATCTGTAAATGATTAGAGAATTTTATCATTTAAATCAATATTAATATCTAAATTAAATATTTTTAAAGTTTATACAATTTTAATCTTCATCGATATCTTTGCAAATGAGAAGCAAATAATATTTAAATTTCAAGGTATAATAATTAAGTTTCTTGATATTGAATTTTTCTTTTATTTTAATTCTTATTAATTAAGTTTCCAAATTCTCATTTTTCATTTTAATCTATTCACTATTTGTA